TCATCTTCGAAGAATACCACTAAACAATAGCCGGTCAAAAACAATAATTTATTACATGTTCCCAACTAGCAAAAGTCCTTCAAAAACCAATAGCTGCCAAATGTATGCGTACACACCAAGTAAAGACCTGATTACGAGAAAACCGATATTTTGAAGATTTCAGACATCTTTTTCAACCGTCATGCGTCATTTTTCTAGCCCAAACTGAGGTCCAGTGTTTTGAATATTCACCTCTTGATGGATGGTATAAATAGTTCAGCTCGACGAAATTAACGAGGATTTTATTTTCTTAAAGATTAATCTGTGTCTTGTAGATATAATCCAATTAGACTATTACAATCTCCCTCACCACAAGCTTAGAATTTTCGAATTTTGCATTGCTTTGTCATCACAGATGATGGAATGTTTTGTTGCTTCTACAGATTGCGAGGATGGGTAATAGCGGTTATGTTGTTACTGAAGAAGAGTAAAACGCCCGAATTTGCATTCTGCCCAATACCAAATATTGAAGTGATTGTGGTTGGGATGGCGGCGCTGAATATCGTTTTTTTACGCAGACAGATTGAAACTATTTCCAAACTTATTGTTTATTTATGCAATCGTTTTGTCAAAGAAAAGGGATTTCTTTAATTTTAATTGGGACTAAGCGATTGCAAGTACGTGGAATGCTGTCCAAATCATAACTACCAATTATAGGGGTTCTTGTCTTATAAGACGTATTTCACCGACTAAACTACACTGAATTAGTAACAAATCGAAATGACGACGAGTACATTGCACCCTCGCAACTGACGACAAACTTTAGCACTTCATCAGACACACACACACACATGCTCGTGAACACTGTTTCTACTCACCAGGTTCTGCTCTCAAGTACACCAGGACCCAAGTTAGTAAAAAAAAAACAAATCCAAACCACGAATGCATTGGCCAACCTCTACTTCAAGCACATCCTTCTCTCACTGCAAGGCACTGCTGCCATCGCAGCTGCCAACTTGTTCCGTAAAAAGTTTCTATTTGTATAACGACAAAAAACGAACGTTATGCATACTTAAATTTAAATACCTATAGCAGCTGTATCTGTTACATTCACCTCTGTTGGTGTGCACATGTATGTGTGTGTGTGTGTGCGAGTGTGAGTGGGTTTGTGGCAAGTGAACTACCCACTAGTAGAGAGACGAGGCAAGAAGTCTGGAGAGGAAAGTTGCTCATTCGGTTGTTGTGGTGGCATCCGAGTGCATTGCTGAAAACGTAAAACGTTACGCTTCTGCAATTTGGCTTCGACTTGTGATCTCGGAATTGTGTCAAGGCCTTGACACACTCACAACCAGCCAGGCGAAAAAGCAGAAAAACAGAACAAGAAGAAGAGGAATGACAGAATAAAGCAAAAGTAATTCACAGTGGAAATATTCCACCCACCAACACGAAAATTCAAACCGCTTGACGCCGCCACAGCCTGCTCTTCCTCCTTGGTCGTCACTGTTTACTAACAAACCAAAAAAGAAAAGAAAAAAACGCTATTTGTGTAGAACAAAAAACCTCTTGCCTTCTTTTCATTTAGTTATAATTTCTGTTGACGACGACGATGATGATGTTGGCCTGGCTGAAAAGAGCCATATACGAGCAGAAATAGTGAGGAGGGGGGCGGTGTTGGCCCAGCCATTACAATCGACATTTTTGCAGTCCAAACGTTGTCTGTGTAATATTTAAACTTGTTTAACATGTCTTTTTCTGTACCGCCTTTTGTTATGTTTAACTAAAGCGTAAAGCAAACACAAAAAAAGGTCGTTATGCATTCGTTTCCGCTTCCGTTGTTTAACTTGGCGCGCAATTGCTATGCCATCGCATCGACAATTTAGAGAAACTGGAGGCAAGGAGATAGGGTCACTCCTGAAGAGTTTCGATATAATTTTTGTTTATTTGCTCGTAATTGAAGTTCCTTATTCTCAATCAACTGGGTCCGCTAAGAGTGAGACATGTAGGCGTATTTTGCCTTCGATCCGTAAACAAAAACAGATGTATGTATATAATAAAAATGCAGCAATTTTATATTTGTTTATGAGCGACTAGTGGCGTTGTCACATTTAATGTTTAGTGTTGATGAAAATTGATTGGTTTTGGATTGGTTTTTTTTTAATCTATTGTTATCCTTTATATGGAACAATTCATATGGCCGACCTTCCATTTAACTTGTACATATATTCCGACAGGATTGACTGTACTCTCCCACTCTCTATCTCTCTATCATTCACTACATTTAATCGCAGAAGGTGGCTGTAACTGTTACCTTGTATTGCCTTATCAAAATGTGTCTTCCACATTCATTGTTGTATGTTTTCAGTTCTTTCATAATGCTCAAAGTGAAATGAGCATTTCAATAGTTTCAAACTACACTGCTCATTCCATTTCAGGTAAATTGAATATTTCGTTTGATTTGCTCTCGGCACCATTTATGTGTATGTTGCTATAGTTCGCTTTCCTCTTCAGAGATATACGATAGAAGTGGCGAAACAAATACAACACATGTCAAACCAACATACAGACTGAGTGACTGGAGGATGACGATAGCAAAAATCCCTAATGTTTAGGTGTTTCTTGTTGTATTTCAGAATAGGTGGGTGGCCACAATGCGTCCTTGCTTGTTTACTCTTTCAGGAATGTGACATGAATGGAACAAAGAATTATTTACATGTATCGCCATTTGTGGTTCAATAGATACAATGGTTGTCGCCATTGTCAATCCACGCTTGATTGACGACACCAACGATGGGGAAGTGTTGAGTTATTGAAAGGTGTTGCTTTCACCATTTAACGGGAATCAGCGATTCATTGTGAGCGTAGTATCCAGATATCAGTTTCCAGAGAAATACTTTTACTCTGTAAGGAACACATCAATGAATATGAATATGTCCCATTAGGATTATGACTTTTTTGTGGGACCTTTTTAAATAATTTAATGTAATAACCTTTATTTTAGTCATTAATAGGCAAAAGTTCAGTCATTCCTACAATGTATTTGAAATCGATTTTGAGAAAAAAATCAAATTAACACATTACTAAAATAACTAAATATCAATTTATAGAAAACTTTAAACCAAAAAGGCTGACACACACGCCCAGAGATGTGATGATAAATTTTCGACGGATTTTGTGTACATATAACGATTTTAAGAGCCTTTGTTGTATGTACCCAAAGTGGGAAGTGAATATAGTCGCTCCCGTCCGACTCCTCCAACATGTGCCAATAATGATCATTGTACTCAATAATTATCCACCGCTATATGGGGCTACCGTAAATACCAAATATCCCAGAAGTAGCATTAATATAAGTTCAGAAATTTTATCTTCAATATTGCGAGTTTTAGTGTTTTACAGGAGTATAGTTACGTCCTTTTTGCATTAATAAAAAAGCATACTATTGTAGTTACGTCCGTTTGGATTTCTTTTATTAGATCGCTCTTTTTGACGTTAGATGTCTAACTTTTTGAGTGAACACAGAAAAAAAATTGTAACCATTTGATAAAAAAATTCAAAAATCCAATTAAAATTTGATTGATTTTTCGCCGATAAAAAAAATTGTAATCCCATTCGAAAATATTTTGATAAAGCAATTCTCATATATACTAAAAATTTTGTTAATCGATAAAATATTTTTCATATTGACAATCTTGTTTATCAAATTATTATTATTATTTCAAATTAAATTTCTTGTAGTACGATACAAAACCTTTTAAACAGCAATTGCCGATTTTTACCCTTATTATTACAGCTCTCCCACAAAAATACCTCCAAATTTTCAGTATTTTAACGGCTTTAAACTAAATGTGTAGCTCTATACCGAATAAAAACTTATATTTGTTATCCATCTTTTACAATCTATTCAACAAAGTACTTTGTAATAACGTAATAAAAAATAATATGGCATATTGCAAAAAAAATTATTAAAAATTGTCCAACAAATTTAATAATTTTTTTGGTCAAACTCGTTTGTTGATGGTTTTTTGTGAATTGTTGGTGTTTGATAAACATTTCCGACTACGTTTGAAATATGTTATCGACATCTTTTTGTCGAACGCTGATGAAGCTTTTAATCAAAAATTTCGGGGTGGCTTTTTTTTCGGCGAACCATGTAGTTTGATTAAACGAACAATAATCAAACAAAAATCAATTTCGAGGTTTTCTGTATATACGTCCGTTTGGATTTGTTTATATATATATATTACTATTTTTTATTTATTTGAAGAAAAAGTTTAAAATTCATAATAGAATATTATTGCTAAACATATTTTGGGACATAAACATGTCTTTAGGCGCCCTCAAGACAGTTGGAGCCTTTCGTTTTTTGTTGCTGTCGTAAATCCTGCCAAAGGTCATATGATGCACACACATTACAATTTATGCACACTATAAGTTTATTGCATTTTTTATGGGCCATATACTACGTTTATTCGATTTCCGAAATTTCCTTTCGGTAATTTTTTGTTGGCAAGATGTGGGTTTTTTGAAAGCATACCTATATGGCAAATAATAAGAAAGTTCAGTGCCTACTTTAAGGCGCCTGTAATCGAAGCCAAAATGTTGTTGTTGCCAATACACGGTCTTTGCTTTTGTAAAGCAGAGTTCCAGCCAAGGTTAACTGAAATAATTTGTCAATTGTCTTGACACTATATAAGCGGCAATAAGAAGTAGGAACACTTGATGTGCGTTCTTAGCAATGGAACGGGTGACCAAGCACTGTCCCATTTTTGAGTATGGCCCTTTGTACTGATATCAGATTGGACCTCCCACTCTGCACTGCTGACAATAAAAGAGTATAGTCTCTCATTTTCGCCACAAGTTCAATTATGTTATATTACAATCCATGGACTAATCGCTGTTGAGCAGCATTGGGGTTTGACTCTGTTGGACATCTTAATTCGGAATACAAATGATTGAATATGTGATTTCAACAGTTGATCATATTAAAAATCAAATAATTCATTTTTTTATTTTACTTTCAGCGGCGAACGTATGTGGCGTATGTCCCATTCTCTACCCTCTGGAATGGTAAGTTTGCTCATTTTGATTTTGTTTTTCCAAAATTATTTCTTTCCTTCCCTAATACTTGAATAATATCTTTAAATACAAATTTATAAATAAACAAAACAAAATATATTTTTAATTGAATTTCAAGTTCAAAGTTTTTTGAATGCATTTTAAAATTTGTTTTTGGCATTTTTGATAATTTGACTTACAAAACATGTTTTTGTTAAAATATGAAACAAAATCAATCCTAAAATTAAACAACAACAACGAAGGCGCACACGCTTTTGCAACTTAGACAACAACATAAAAACAATCCCAACCACACACAGTACAAATATTCTATATATGTTATATAATTCTAAAGCAGACCATAACAACAGACATCCTCTTTTTTGGAAAACAAATAAAAAAAAAATTAAAATAATTGAATTCACACACACACACAAAAACCGAAACTATTTGCTGTACCAAAGCAAAAACATATACATACATATAGTTTTTTAACTCTTATACCACACAAGGTGTTTTCTGCATAATAGGTTATTCAAATTCCTTTTGTAGTTTTGCTGTAATCAACAACAAAAACAACAACATTTCTACAAGTAATATTAGTAGTAACTTAATGTTGAATTGGTTTTTCTTTGTAGTATATATCTAAATATAGATGTAGATCTATGTGGATATATTAGTTATATAACGTAAACGAAACAGTTTAGCTTAAGGTGTTCACATTTATGTTTTAATGGCTTATAGCCAATTGCAAATTAAAAAAAACGCTATAATCCATAATATGAATGTACAAAATAATACGCTACTTCAAATAATTATTTGCGTTTCCATATGCTGCAAGTAATACACAATAAGAAAAAATTGCTTTTTTTAACATTTCCGAAAGGAATTCTAATCCAGAGCAACAACATGTTGTTTTTTCTTCTTCAAATATTTCGTATTTCATACTGTCCGTCAAATATTTGTACCGGTTACTGGCGGATATTTAATTTCTGGATAAAAAAGAAAACAAGCAGCCCACTGACATTTCGTACCAGCACTTTTATTTTACTCGTCGAATAATAAAGTCGTTTTCGTTATCACACACACAGGCAAACACTTCAGCAACACTCTAACACCCTTTGAATTGTTGCAATTTTGTTGAGACCATTCGAATCGTTCTACAGTTCATTTCTCGTTGCTGGTGCTGCTGTCTGCAGCTACCTTTTTATATAGATTACTAAAGTGTTCTATGCACGAGCAACAGCCGGAACTAAATGGAAACATACTTCTTATCTTGTCAAGGCATTCGTTGTCGCAATCATGCCACCCAATGTTCTTTGAACTTTCCCATCGAGTTTTGTGGGAGTTCAAGCGGCAATAGTGAAAACTTATAGTCAACTTTAATGTTTAATGTTCACGACCAAAACTTAGATCAAGTAGAAACCAAAAGAAAATAGTAGTGCTCACAGTGGTAGGGAAACTCACTAATTCGTAACATATTATCGTATTTATATACAATAATATTGTTCCAGGAAAAAGTTTGTTAAAATAAAAAGTCTGGAATTTTCAGTGAGAATATATGAACGTAGTGGATAGAATGATTATAGTTTTAATTACTCATTTAGCGCCACCGCCCTTTTAAAAGAACACCAAAAATGGAAATACCGCTGTAAGAAAACAACATATGAAACATCTTATAAGATTTTCCGTGTTTCGAAATTTGGTTGTAAAACTCAGAGCCAATTCTTCCATGTCCTGACTATTTCTCGCCAGGTTCTAAACATTTAAATTCTTTAGTAGAATAAGTTCGGGTAATGTGGTAACTCAAAAAATTGTGAAGATTGTGAATTTCTTAAAACAACTTGTGAAAAATTGATCATCAAATTTCAATGATATTTTAAATAAGCCTTGAAAACTCTATATACACATCATTAAGAATATTTACTGGCATATACTATTTATTAGATTTTTTTTTTTGATTTAAAACGCATTAAAAGTGTCATTCGGTGTATACCCTCAGTCTGTGGTTTGGGGAAGTCTACGGAATTGCTGTCGTGTTTCGAGTTGCAACATTTTTTTAGTCACATTTGATATTGAACTTTTGAACTTGGCACTGTTGTGGATTTGCTCTTAGTTTGGGAAAAATCAGCTGAAGCCACATTACCCGAACTTACTCGATATACACGTTATAGAGTTAGTGATTTGTTATATCTTTTATTAATATTGTCATATTAATGTATCGCCATTAATAGATTATACTACAACCAACACATACATAAACATCACACACATCTGTACACATTAACAACATTTTTATATATTACACACATTATTAAAAAAAAACATATTTATTGTTGAGTACAGCGAGTGTCAGAAGAATTTCAATACGAATTAGTTCAAATCAAAATAGTTAAATAAAAAAGATTTCAAAATAATAAATTCCGGGGTCACTCCGTGGCGCTCGCTGTATATCATAACAATGTAACGGTAGCCTTCTGACATTAGAATGTAGTTTGATTTTTGTTTCAGTTTTTTTTTTGTTCACTTCATTTACACCAGTTCAATAAATGCGAATGTGAAATTTATTGTTTTCTTGTTGTTGGTGTTTAGATATGTGGGTGTGTGTGATTTAAATAAAAATACCAAATACCATTGTTTCATTTGTAGATATAGTTAATGCACCGTTAATTTCATAAATTTCTAAATTATTTTTATCAAATAAAAGAAAAAAATATACCAATTTCTTTCAAATTTCAATGCGAGTTTTAGTTTTGTTTTGGAAAGTTTTAGTTTTGTTTTGAAAAATAAATGTTGATAATTATTTTTTTTTTTCCTTTTTTTAGTTTTTGTCCTTATATTCCGATTGCAAAACGGAGTGTTTTCAAATGTTTTTAATTTTATTTGTAGTTCTGTGTTGTTGTAAAAACAATAAACCAGTCAATTGATTACACTGTGCGACAAATTTTAATTTGTTTGATAATTACCAGGAAATTCCAACAGATTATGAAAGAGGGAATTCTGAGAATTATAGTAAAACATTATGGCGAACATTTCTGTAGAATATTCTGAGCACCTGTAACCCCGCTTTGAATGAGTTTTCAATCACTTCTGGAAAAGGGGACCGAAAATACCCCTTCAATGAGTCGGTTGAGGGTTAATGTTGTATACCAAAATATTCCTCGATGTTTTATCAATATTTTGCCGAAGACACTATATACCTAAAATGCAAGGATTTCACGAAATCATAATTCGAAAATTATCAAAATTCTAGAAAAGGGGAATATTGCCCCCCTTTTTAGGTTACCCCCGACTTAAACTTTCAAAACACCGATACACGTGTCTTCTTTTTTAGACTCTCTTTCATAATCTGTTGGAATTTCCTGGTAATTATTTTTTTTTGTGTTGCACAGTTTGATTGAATGAAGACGACTAGAAAGACTTGATTAATTGAATTAAATTGCTGCATTGATCGCAATACAGCATATTTTAAATGTTTATAAATAAGGAAATAAAATTAGAAAAATCCTTAGTCGCACAGCAAACGTCGTAAGTACAAATGTTTATGTAAAATTCAGATATTGTTACGATACGATACGATTAAAAACGCAATTCATCCCACAGCCAGATCGAACAAATTTATGAAATAGTTAGAACTTGTTTTCCTATTTGTAATACCGTCATTCCGACTACAAGAGCATACACGGAATACAGAGAAGAGATGAAAGTACCTAACGAATCTATTGGTCATTACTATAACTGCGAATGCTATAAAAGCCTTCACATCAACTAACGTCCTTAAGAAAACACGCCCTCCCTTCCGAAACAATGTTAATTGATTTGAACTTACGACGTTGTACTGTGATGTTAACGTAGTGTTTTCCCGTCATAGTTTTCATCTTTCATCTTCTTTAGAATGCCATAGCTGGTTTAGAATACCATATTCATTTCCTACTACATATTGCAACAACAAATATAAAAAACAAACATTGCATTACTACTGGAATTGTTACAAACAGGTTTTGTGCCACGAAGAACTTGTTATCAAATCACCAGCGTGTTGTGTTATTTGCAAAATTCCGTCTGTTTTTAGTCGTCGGAATACCATATTCGAGACGACATGTGTCCATATATATATATATATATATTTGTGTGTGTGCGTGCATTTTTTGTTTTCTTTCGAATGCAAATTACATGAATGTTTTTGTCTACATACATACGTACAAATGAATGTAAATCAATCAGATTTATGTCGAAGGACCGCAAGCACCAGCGAACGTCCGTTCAATACCAACACCAATACCATACCAATCGAGTAACGACAAAAGCGCCAACGACAAATTAAAATGTTTCAAAATTCTTTGACTTGATATTTCAGTCACGTTATGCGTTTTCACCACAGGACACAGATTTTACGTCGTCGTATCCAGGTCCCTCAGCGATGAATCCACGTGGCCGTGGCGGCTATAATGATTTTTCAGGTGGCGGCAGTGCAATGGGCTCCATGTGCAACATGGCGCCGGCGCAAAGTACAAACTCGCTGAACAGCGGTGGTGATGGTGGCGGCGGCGATACTCAGGCCGTAAATGGAACCAATCTAATTGTCAACTATTTGCCTCAAGATATGACAGATCGTGAGTTATATGCTCTGTTTAGAACGTGTGGTCCCATAAATACTTGTCGAATTATGAAAGATTATAAGGTAAGAGATCGATCACAGTGCTCCATTTGTTGTTGTTTGTTTGTTTGAAACATGCCAGTCACACATTTAGTTGATCTCACTCCGGGTACATCTACTGCCAACAACAAACTCTGAGTGGTCTTTTCGATGTACCTCCTATACCTGCACGCTCGTAGTATGTGTATGTCTGTGGGCATGGCATCCAATATTGAAAAGTTAAATTTATGATGAAACTTGGATACACTGTTGTCAGTGTTGAGGTGACAGGAAGAGAGTGAGATGAGAGACAACATCTGTATGCACCTGTGTGTATTAGGGATGTCTGTAATAGTGGGTTTATGTTTCAAACAACTTTCAGTAGCTATATTAATAAAGCGGTATAACAAAAAAGGTTTTGTGGGTGCAGACCCACTTCCACATACAAGAAGAAGGTCATCAATATCACGAATTCTGTGGTATCATTTGCGTGTCCTTTTTTCGTTCGATGATGATAACTATTGGTCACAGATTCGTGCATTTCATAATCCTAACCAATTGTTTGTTTGACTAAAGGAAATAAGGACAGATTATAGAATACATGATACAAATGTCCTACCTTCGTGTATGTATCTTAATGTTGTGCCGCTCAACAATTACTACGAAGACCTTTCATAAAATGTAATTATTTAATTTTCTTTTTTTTTTTTTTAATAAATTTAATGCGCCCCCAGACTGGCTACAGTTTTGGTTATGCTTTTGTTGATTTTGCCTCCGAAATTGATGCCCAAAATGCCATTAAAACCGTAAATGGCATTACAGTAAGGAATAAACGTTTAAAGGTAAGCATATTTCTGTTTATTATTTATTGTTGTCATTACGTCGGATAACTTTCCTTATTTAATGAAACCTTCCTTTATTGCTGGCAGGTGTGCTGGGTAGTCGTTCTTTGCATAAACGGTTATTATAAGAATTGATTTAAATCTGCACTTGAAATCGGAGCTGCAAATCAATTTCCGTTTGTTTTGTTCGAATTTTTAGTATTTGGGTGGTGGATGGTAGCCATTGTGTCCTTCTCCCTGTCGGAGTTAACTTGAGGGATTTCTTCACTTTTCACACTTTCGCCTTAATTACTGTGAGAGATGAATGCAGAGGGACGCCATTTTCCTATGTTCTTCATTCTGTTTTCATTCTTGGCTGTGTTGTACTGCTGACACCTTATCTTCGCTTAACATTTTTTATACCCGCACTTGTTTAGGAAATACCGGAAAATGCTTTTGCATTGGATATCCTCTATGCAGCTTCTCTTTCATACTTCAGAGATATCATTGCAAGTATCTGGTGCAGCTTGGAGGATAGAAACGCTGTTTGACAGACACGGAGTGTAAATAATTTTTGCCAAGTAACAGCATTTCCTGAATCGTCTTCCGACGTTTTTTTGCTTTGCTTGATAGAGTTGATTGTTCTCACACCCTTTGTATTCATAATTATTAAAAACCGAAGATTGATTTAACGTAATTTCTCTGGTTGAAAGCGTCAAGGAGAAGGATTATCAAGATTTTATGGGAAAACGTTTACACGACGAATAAATAAAATCCAAACATGTAGGAGTGATACAATAAGGCAAGGCATCTATTGCCCATGTCATATTTCTAGCCAACCTCCACAGCGTATGCGGAATATTTTGTTAAAATACACATCGATTATACGCCACCAAACACTGTGCGATGTCCAATGGTTTTTTTTATTGTTGTTGTTTTTTTCTCAATTCCCTTTCACCACTGAAAAGAAGGTGTACACTCAAAAACATTTCAAATTATTTGTAATGAATTTTTACCAATTTCATGCCACAATATGAAAGAGCCAACTGTGTAACAACGTTTAAATGTTTGTGAATGGGGATTCTCCTGTATTATCCCATTTATCATTCACGCAGTCCACGGTGACGACGATGAGAATGATTATTTCGCACAATCATCGGAGAACGAATGTGTGTGCGTGTGTGCGCATAAAACATATACTTCATACGTAATAAATTAGCCAGTACAGATGGCTGTTCATTGTACTCCACTCCACTTCGTCCATCATCAATCATTTAATAAGTCATATTTTCAATTACATAGAAGTGTGCCGTTCTCCTGAGTGCCGTTGAGTTGGTCATATCGTACACACCTTTCTGTTTGTCCTTTGGCGTTCCGTTGACATTTGTTAAACAATCCGTTTTGTTTTTCTTGGTAGCTGATTTGCATACGACCAACAAAAACTAATTAATCTCGCTTTTGGTTTATTTCGTTAATGCGCGATGTTATAGTCGCTCTATTATTTGTCAGACGATGTGCAGACCTCAAAGTGTATGTAGTGTACCCTTGTTTGAGCTAGGATAACACTCTTTCCACTACGGCAATCAGTGTGGATGCATTGTCGGCTGTAGTTTTTTTCACATTTCGCTCCATGACGAATTATCTTGCTTGGCTACCTGTTTGCGCCACCTGTACGACGAAGTTGTTCCATTTTTAATCTGGAACTAATTACTTGAATTGTCACGCTTAATGGCAGCCAATTGAGTGTACATTTCACGTAGATCGGAGTCAGAGTACATTTAACATCACAGACGTGATGAGAATCACTATGATGTGGCTGCTGCTGTGGCTGCTGGTTCGGGTCCTCTTGCTGCAATCTGCTATCCAACCATCATTACGGAGTGTAGAGATTTGTTGCTTTGCTAAACACCAATTCCTTTAGCTTTGAAGCAGAAAGGTGTTGAGTACGTCGACACGGTGCCACATAACAGTCAGCACTGCTGTGGTCCAGCACAAGTGCAACCAGCCACCTTTGTACCGGAATATATTTTATTTTTTTCCCATGTTATGTGTGGTGTTTTATCCTTTGTCTCATCGATTCGAATGAATTGCTTTGTAGGTTTCATATGCCCGACCTGGCGGAGAATCAATTAAGGATACCAATTTATATGTCACCAATTTGCCACGTACAATCACCGATGATGAATTGGAAAAGATCTTTGGCAAATACGGAAACATTGTACAAAAGAACATTCTCAGAGACAAGCTCACTGGTAGACCGAGGGGTGTAGCATTTGTAAGGTATGTTTTATTCGTAATGACTCGGAAACGCCATTGCTGTATTGAATGTCATTGTCGGTTCTTGCAGATTCAATAAACGCGAAGAAGCCCAAGAGGCCATATCAGCCTTAAACAATGTTATACCAGAAGGTGCCTCCCAGCCTCTAACTGTGCGCCTAGCCGAGGAACATGGAAAAATGAAGGCCCACCATTTTATGAACCAACTGGGTATGGGTCCACCAGCGGCCCCGATTCCAGCGGCTGGTCCTGGGTACAACAATATGGTGCATAGAGGTAGACAAAATAAAATGCGCAATCACAAAGTACATCCCTATCATAATCCCCAAAAATTCATATAAGTTTAAAAACAAATGAATATGTTTTGAAAATAGTGTCTCCTCAGAATATAAAACGCATACATATAAACTAAAATTCGGTATAATCGTGATCTATTTCACACATATAATTACAATTACATCTAATTTGAAAGATTCGCGTCGAAGAAAGCCTCCGGGTATACATATTCTATGAGTCCGACATAATTATAATAAACTAATAGTAGTAGTTCTCTTCTCCTCACCTTAATTCTCTCTCTCTATATATATATATATATCGACATATATAACCAACCAAGATTTAAACAACAACACAACACAATTGTGCAGCTCTACTTCAGATTTCTTTGCTAACACAAATCTTATTATTTGTCATTGAACAACAATTATAGAAACATACATTTGAAATTTGGCGATGTAATATCTCTAATTGAGATATATTTCAACAATTTAACTAATATAATTTAATAGAACAAACAAAACTAAATATTTGTACTCTTCAATAGTAATTCCGTTCTAGAATCAATATAACACAACTACTACTCAATTTTCACATATACCTAAATATACGTTTGGCACAACAACACAAATCGGTCAGATATAAATGCGGTATCAGTGTTGTCAGAGGTAATCCTTCTACAAACTTCAAATAAATATGATTTAAGGACAGAACAGTGCTTTTGGAGAGTCTTTGGTATATTTCTAAGTGAACCAGACGGAGTTTTTATTCTTATTATTATTAATATCATAGTATCAGAACCACAATTTTCTGTGTATAAAATCGGTTCTTAAAAGTCTCTGTTATATATTATTAAATTCTGAGGGTATTTCTTACTATGTTGAGGTACGCCTCCTCGTATAGATTCTGTTCAATGATTTTAATTTTGTTATAATATGGAACTTCAAAAATGCAATACTTGACAACAATATAAAGAAACCGTTCTAAGGGTCAGCATATATTCAATGTTATATTAAGATTTTCAACATATATACATACCACATATATTTTAATATATATAACAATCAAATTCAATGATATTAATAAAAAGAAAGTAATATATATATATATATATATATATCCAATTGTCAATGTAGAAGATTAGAAATAAAAATGTAGATTCTGAACAAAAAATATATATATATAAGTGTGTGTGTATTTTTTTTAACGAATAAAATCATGGAATTGAATTAAAAAAAGATGAATAGAGTCATCTTTTTCAATGGGAAGAATATTTTTTTTTGTTTTTGTTGTTTTTTTTTACTTCTAGCAATGAATTTCCAAATGAAAATGGTGGGCGTGGTAAGTATACGCCAACCGATATTTACACCTCCACGAGAAGTTTCCTTGTATTGCTCTCCTACCCACTGATATCGGTATCCCGTATTCTGAAACAAATCAATATTATTTTGTAAAACCCAATAATTTTTTTATTTTTTTTTTTAATATGACAGCAGTTAACGGAAAATTGAATGAAAATGTATGTTTAAATTATTATCTCCAACCGAGGTGAGAAATATTTTTTTTTGTTTTTTTTTCATATGCCTATATTTTTTTTTTTTTTTTTTTTGTTAGAGAAACACACACGATTTTTTTAAATAAATATTATTAAGAATTCAAATGACAAGGTTAAATAAAATCTATAAGTGTGCCTATCAAACTTTCGATATGTGCATGAAAACTCAAACAAAACTAATTGGCGGTTCAAAATTATATATTCAAAATTATTTGTTATAATTTTAGACCGACTGTCATGTGCGGCAAATAATTGTTTAGTGTTCCGAAAATTAAAATATATTCGTAGCCATTTTCAATTCGTGTCCAAGAAACAGAAATAATGTTAAGTCATTTGAGCAAAATGTGATATAGTAGCAATTGTTATAAACAAATTATTGGTACATCTTTAAACTAAAATAAACCTAAAAAATATAAAACGATTATCCGAAGAAATAAACGGATAATTTAAAATTTGTGAAACGTTCCCCCTAACGATAATTCTGGAAATTATATTTTATTTCAAGTAAAGCAATTTGAGTCTGAACTAAAGTAATCAGGAGACACTATTTTGTAATTAATATTTTTTATGAAACATATACAGTAAAACTCCGGTGTAAAGATTATGAGGCTCAACGATTTTCCGATTTAACAATGGAGCAAACAGTCAAAACTGTTGTACCTCAGACTAAAAACCTTGACAACTTCAGGTTTTTATTTTTGTTTTTTGTTTTTTTTTTTTCTTTCAAACTATTTTGCTTGCCATTCCATTGAACAAACTAAATTAAGCCCAGTCCATTGAATGGACTATTTTGAAGACTTGTAAAAACATTACTCAAAATATAGCAATGAAATAAAATATAAACCTTATAAACCAATAATTAAAAAAAAATTAATGAGAGTGCAAAAAAAGACATTAGGATGTCCATCCCATTACGAAGTGTGGAGCGACCAGAACAATATTGATCTTTTGAAATCATTAGTTTTAAGACAACTTGAAGAAGAAGCATACGCCAAAGCACATAAGCAAAGTACAATTAATATTTTTGTTTTTTTGTATACTGAAATTTATATTTTCATTTGTATAAAATACTTCTAAAAAAGTAAATTTAAATATTGCGTTGTTCTGGCGTTTTCAGTTAGAACCAATTCCGATATAACCATATTTTCGATGTAACGATGAGAGCTTACAATATGTGTATAGGATCACTTTGTGTTGTCAGTACCATTTGTCAATAATATTTTTATATCAACATTTCGATTCGAATTGACTTAATGATAATTATTTCCTTGGGCGTAGTTATTAATTTTAGTATTGTTTTTTTTATGTTTTATTAAAAACAAAATTTCCACACATCATCCAGAGAGAATCATCTTCCCTCAAAAATGTTTAGGATTCATGTTTATTTTTTTCGTTGAAAACTGTTTTTCTTTCTTAAGCACGATGTAAATTAAACCAAAATAAATATAAACATCTTTTTTCTTTTCCATGCAACTGGTGGTTGTCCACGTTCATGCGTATCCTGCCTTCTACCCACAGCGTACAACTATTCTGGCCTTCTGGATGGCTTTTATCGCAACAAATCGTATCACTATCCCTACTTATAATTCAGCCATACATTAGTGTAAATAATTATTTAATAATAAATTAGCAACAACAAAGGCAAACTCAATAGTATTACGATATTTAATTAATCACTTGTATAATCGTTAGGTTTAATTCATTTATATTTAAGCTAACTAAATTATTCAAAAACAAATTTGTCATTCTTTGTTAGCCATTACATCTTTCCATACCAAGAAAAATTCGTATCGATAAATACCAACAAAAAACATTTTGTATATTGCTAAGAAAACCAAAAACAAAACAAAAATGAAGTTGTTTTTCTACATAAAAGACTAAGAGTTTCTTTTTTTTTAAATAAGTACATGTAAGAAAAAAACTATTAACATGAATATGTTTGCTAATTATTTTTTATTATTATTTTTATATTCGTTTATTTTAGTTTTAATAAAGCAAAGACTGGAAATTTGAGTTCATATTTTGATTATCTTTTTAACTGTGGGCGTTGGCTTAGAAATGTTTACTATAACATATAATAACATTCGAAAATAATTCGAATAACTGAAAAATGGGTTGATGGTAAAACGTTATGTATTTGTTAAATTATCTTCAACCTATGTATCTAAATAGACCCTAAAAAGACCAATTATGCAATTGTTTTTTTAATTTAAAAATGATTAAATCTCTTGATATATATTTTAAAAGACAATGACGTTTATAGTTTCTCGGTCATCCCATGGACATCGTTTTACTCCTGACCCTAAACGTAAATATTAAAAAAATACCCTAGAACTTATTATTTCGAATCGATATATTAAAATATACAAATAACTGGTTGACATGCTGTAAGCTGTGCAAAAGGCCCGTCTTTATTATTTTGTATCTTGTTTCTTTGGTAGCACTTTAACAAGTGACAGTTAAGACAATAACTTTTTTCTTCCTTTAAAATAAAATGTTGTAGTTAAGGTTGCAACGGATTCTATTTGTGAAAATCATTTTTTTCTCATATGGCCCTAAGAGCTGGTTGGTTGCATTGCCCTTATTGCATTGAGTTGTGTCTTCGACATTTATTACAAAAAAATAAAAACATCAAAGACAAATTAGTATGAAAAATGTACCTTAGCAGAAAATAACAATTCTCACAAAATTAGACATCTTTCAAAATAGAAATCAAGTGTATAACCGATTTCATTGTCACACACTGACTTTCGTTTTCTTTTACGTATTTGTTTAAATTTATAAAAAAAATATTCTGACTGATTCATAAGAAAAATCTTTGCTAGTTTAAATAATAAAGTCATGTTGAAAAAGAACAAACTAATACTTAAGTATATAATTCATTTACTCATTAGTTACTGTATGAAATGTTCTCATTACTTATACGAATGATTTCGTCGAATCTGAAAAGAACTTGATTTGTTAGCTTTGAAACATGCATACAAGTATGGCATTGAACGACTATCTTGGTTGGATGTAAAAGTTTGCAATGATATTCTTAAAAATATCTCAGATATATGAAATTTAGAATGGAAAGAATTTAGATTGGTGACAATACTGAATACAATTATGTTGTTGTTTCCAGGGTCTATTTATATTAGGCGTAGGTGGTCTAATGGTGACAAATTATAATTTGTCTCCAAAGCAATTATTATAAATAGAGTCGCATTATTTTAATTTTTTAGATACAAAAGTATGTTCAACCTCCGCATATTCTTAATAAATATTAAAATTTAATTTAAAAAATTATATGACCTTATTATTAGTATTTGTTCACCAATTCATATTTTTCTTTGTATTAAATTGTCTATACTAAATATTAAATAAATACGCGGTTTAAATTTAAATAAACCGAATTTTCACAACACGATGCCGTGAATTGTAGATGTGCTGTATATGTAATTTTTCCATATACTTTAGATTTTGTCACTTACCATACATAACAAAAATGCTAATTCATTAAAAGCAAAATGTTTTCAGATTCGACGTCACAGAATTATCATCGAAAATCATTTTCGGCAAGGAGAATCATTACAATTCGTATTTTAACTAAATATCTCTGTTCCTTTTCGTAATCATTTAAATAGCATTTCTTTTGTTCTGGTGTTAAGATATAGTAAAAATATAACAAGAAATGTTATGCGTGAAAAAATCGGCCTTCAAATTGGAAATTGTTTATCGGGATGTGTGTTCACTTCGTATTCTTAAGATAGTCAGAATAAACAAGCCATTTATTTATTTTTTAATTTTAAAGCATCTAACGTTTTCAATTGTAATCGAATTTTTAGTAAGTACAATTTATAAGAATTAATCCACAGTTTCAAAGGAACAGAGTTTTATTATTATGCGACATAAACTAAAAAGAGAAAAGAAAAAAATCTGACTTCCATAGAACTTACCACATTAGCTTTAGCATTTAAATTTATATACAAAACAAGAAAATTAGTACTGTTACAAGACGATATTGTTGAACAAAACTGAAAATTCCATGTTAAAAGAAAAGTTACATTTTTGTAAATTATTATTAAAAAAAATCAAGCCTAAGAAGGTTCCAAAACAAATCTAACGACAACTTTGTATATTAAATATTTTTCAAATGAAAATCCTTTAAAAATTATACATAAATATATATATATATACATAAAAAATAATTTTTTACTTAAGAAAAGTTAAAAGAAATGATTAAAAAACAAAACAAAAGAAATGAACAACGTCAACTGCCCATAAAGATTTTTAACTAATAGAACAAAAAATTAAAAAGAACAAATTATAACAATTAATGAAACACACATAAAAACAACAAAAGAAAAACAACTAATTTTAATATAAACATTTAACAAACTGTTAGCGGATCAAATTATTTAAATAAATTAATAATTAATGAAAACCAACATTACTGCATAAGTAAATCATTACTAGAAGTATACATACGGAACCGGCGGTATGTACCGGATGTGCAACAATACCAATTAATTCTTAATGATAATAATTTATGTAAACGAATTTTAAAATAAACAATGCATCTATATGAACCTAGTGATTATATTAACATACAAACAAAAATGATAGAAGTCAATAACAAAAATTGAAATCGAATGCAATGAATTATGATGATACGTTACGTTATTCAAATTATGTGTCCTCTTTAAATCGAATAATTTCGTTCTTTACTTTTCTTATCATTTCATAAAATTACAAATTAAAAGAAGAAAAAAACTAAATAATAACAAAAAAGAACAAAATCGGAAAATCTCATTACTTTTCCTATGTAGGGGAAATTCTCTAATAATGCCATGTTCTGACGGGACATTTGAACACTGTTCTTCGCTCTCCTAATTATGTACATGAATTGATAATTTGTTTTTGGTTTATCGTACATTTGTTTCTCGTTTTATACGCTAATTAAAACCGAATGGAAATAAATGGATATTGTATTATTTCTCCTAATTTTTTCTAAAAATATTTGTAAATTTTATCAATTTTTTTCACGCTGTCAGAGTTAACATGTTTTTTTTTTTTTTTTTTTTTTTGATAAATACACTTATTTAGAATTGACCTATATACAAACGTGGTCTGAACAACGAATGTGAGAGCGAACAATGTCCGTTTGAACGTAGCATAAGACCGTTTTGACTTTTCTGTTTTAGTATTTGTTGAACCGGGAATTGCGAAATAAAACTCTAATATAAATGAAAACACGAATACGTAATATGTTTCATTAGCAGCAAATTTAATATAACTGATAGGCCAGTAAATTTCCAAGAAACCAAATACATAGTTGATTATTATGAGAATAAGTTAAACATGATTGTGAGAACCAAAAAGGTAAATCATTTAATATACATATTGCTGGTTAAAAGTTTGCAAAAATGTTTAATCTAAATTATTCCTAAATTTATTATTTTATTTGAAATTTACGCGCCTGCTCAACGTCTCATATACAAAAATATAAGTATTTTAAAATTATAGCTCCGAAGTTATTATTATTATTTTTTTTTTTACGTTGGCCAATCTAGTTTAGTTAATTTAATATTGCATTTGAGTATTGGAAAATATTGGTATTGTATTATTTTCAATTATTTAAAAATATACTTGAATTATGAGCAGGTGTGTACATCATAAATTCTAATTTGCGTGGACTATCATCGAACTTTCGCCTAGATTTATTTGAGTTCAATTCAAAATAAAATTACGAACGTTTTTTTTTTGGATTACAATATATATGCTCAATAAAATTACAATAACAATATTTTAAAACATGTTTGAAATGTTCCTTCGAAGGTGGTCATCATTGAGGGAACACATTCCATCAATAATATAGTTTAGGGTTTGGCGTATTTCAGTTTTACGAGATATGAATATACTTCGGAGCGTTTCGTGTCTGTTGTGTGGAAATTAATGAGATGATACAGGTCTACTCATATTTAATTGTTTTTAAATGTTTTGTTACAATACGTTAATATTAACGAAAAACAACAAAAAATGTTATGACAAAAATCAACCTCCCAATTTATGACTTGTTATATAATGTATCTTTATAAATGTTATATATACAACAGAAACAAAACACAAACTAAAAAATCACAAACTATATATTCCAATTATATACTCTATATACATACATATATAAGCATTAATATAAAAGAAAATCTAAAAAACAACAACAACAAATATTTACAATTATATTTAATAAAAAAAGACAAAACCAAAAACAAGAATAAAAAGATTTTTTATGTCAAAATAACAACAAATCCCTATTTAAAATTTAGAGTAAATAAAATTAAAATTATAACAAAGTAAATACGAAAAATAACTTTTTCCCAATTTCATAACTTAACAACCGCAACCAATATTGTGAATATAATTTTGTGTATTTACCTCCTTTCCCAGCAATATTTAAAACAAAGTAATAACAATTATAAAAAATAACAACAAATCCAATAAAAAGAACAAAGCAACAAACTGATGTGTGAGATAAAAAATAAAAAATATTATTTGGAAAATATTTAATTTAAAAGAAAGAAACAACATTTTTCATTTCCTTGTTTTGTAATCGTATGGAATGCCAAAGGGGTTTGTTATGGGTAGTCCGATTAGATTTTGGAAATGATGATGATGTTTTTGTTTTTGCTGAAAGACAGACGAAACTGCCCGAGGGTTAAAATGAAAATTGCTATTTTTTCTAAACTCTATGCCTTTATATGACTTTAAATACAACATTTTAGATTTTTATTCCGACAAAAAAAAATTTAGACACTGAAAGGGTTAAGTCCATTTTAGATTTTGGTACACATTTAGATTTCTTGAAACATGTTGAAGGGCACAAAATCTCAAACTAAATTAGTACCACTTATAAACAATTTTGAAAAAAAAATCAACACACCAAAACCCTTAAATATCTCAATAGAAGAAAAATGGGCGCAAACCACTTTCAAAATAAATGACTCAAATATTGATCAAGGTTTTAAAAATATAGATGATTAAAGATGTCAGTTATAGAAAAAGAGGACACACAGAGGATATACATTTTCTAGATGACAGCCAGTTAAAATAGATGATTGTAAAGACAGTAAAATCTCACTAGTCCGGACAATTAGATTGTCAAATTTTCCGGATCATCGAAAATTGGTTTAAATTATTATAAATTTTGTGATAATTTTAATAATTGTTGGTGTTTATTGAAAAATTAAAGATATTCATTGCAACAATATGAACTTAAAAAATAATTGCTACAATTAAGACTCATTAAAATAAAGTTTTGTGTGGCCTCCATACTGAGGGCGCCGTGCAAGACGCCAATGAAATTTCGTTATATCAATACAACACGGTATTTATATATACATATATATATATACACATTTCAATATACGAATACTACACGAAAACTGAATACCTACCAGCCCAATACATTTGTCTATTTTTATTCATAAATTTCCGCATTTTTGTTTGATATTGCGAAAAGCAGATCTCTCAACACATCCACTTCACTCGCCAATTAAATTGACACAAAAATCATTTGAATTGTGTTTTGGTTTTTTGCTTTCAATATTCATAGAAGCAAGCACATTTTATTGACGGCGTTAATTTAATAAACTCTGGGTTTTATTTTAAACATTAAAGGATCCTTGGTTCTCAATATCAATTCCGCTATCAACGGCAGTTCCTCTTCCTTGTCGCCAACATATTCCACCTCATAGTGTCGTAGAACATTGGCCAAAATGGTTTTTATTTCCAATACGGCAAATTTTTGTCCAATACAATTACGTGGTCCGGCCGAGAACGGAATATAGGCATAGGGACTTAATCGTTCGGTACTGTAACCGGCTTCGAATCTTTCCGGTTTAAAGACATTCGGTTCGGGGAATAACTCTTCCAAACGACCCAGTTGCAGTGGAGAAATGCCAATGTTTGTTCCAGCTGGAATGATTTTGCCATCTGAAATTGAAAAAGGAGGTGAGAACATGTTGGATGACTGCCAACAGCACACTTACTTATTTCACACTCTTCTGTTACTTTTCTGCCCAACAGCGGTACCGAGGGAAACATGCGTAACGTTTCCTTGATACACAAATCCACATAATGTAAGTTATTCAGATCTTCAAAGGTTACCGGCTTCGACTTGTCTTTTCCCATGACCTGGATAATTTCCTCGAAACATTTTTGCTGGCATTCCGGATACAGTGCCAAATTGTAGAAACAGAATGTAACAGCTGACGACGTTGTATCGTGTCCCTCAAACATAAAGGTGTCCACTTCTTCTCGTATATCCAAATTAGTCAATGGCTTGCCGTCCACTTCGGATTGCAGTAAAATGTCAAGGAAGGCCATTTTTCTTTTGGACCCAGTTTCATTGGTGCTGTCGTCTCGTTTAATTTGTTGTGATTTCAAAAGCTCTTCTCGCCTCTGTATAATCACTTTTTCGGTGAAACCATGCAGAACGGCCAAAGCCTTCTTTTCTTCGCGGGCCAATTTAGTGAAACGGTAGGTCAAATCGAAGCGACACAAAATGTCAAACATTCGTTTGTGCAATACCATGGCGATGCTAATTAAAAATCGGGAAATATTGTTACTCGTCGTTGGCCTAATGGCCAGGCAATTAGGTGATCACAGTACTTACGTTTTAACAGCTCTCACATATTCCGAATCGGCATTCGTTTGCGCATTGACAGAAACACCCATGGCAGTTTCTAAATGTAAAATACAAATGATAAATTACGAAGGTTCTGCATCGCTTCGAGCAACATTACTTAACTAACAGAGTAATTTAATAGGTCGAAATTAACATCGATATATCATCTCTTAATATGACAGAATTATACCTAATAGTTTTATATACATCACCCCCCATGAACATGGCTGAAGTAGTTGTTATGTCCGAAACAAGAACGTTTAATGTTCTTGGTCGCGCCTCTGTTATCTTATCGTGACCATTTTGATTTGATTTTATAAAAAACGGTATAAAATCAAATTGGACTTCAGAACATCTGGTGGAGGTTTTAATAATAACCCCCTCTATATAAACATTATCGTCAAAGTAATTGCCACTGGAGGTAGCAATCCATTGATAAGACTGAATTTTTGCTTTCTTCAAGACTTGCGTGTAAAGTGCAAAATTTAATAACATCTAAATCTCATTCTTTATCGTTGTTTTATGCCACAATACAATTTCAACATGAATGCTCATTGCAAATCCTGACATCAATTTAAACAATAACATTTTCACGGAACGGGTCGCAGGACGTCATTCTATGTCGTCTATTAACTACATCTTAACAGAACTTTCGCATCAGAGATATGGCACTTAAATACTCACATCACACATAGCCTTACCACAAATTGTGTCCAGGGTACACAAATTAATTCTTTATCGTTGTTTTATGCCACAATACAATTTCAACATGAATGCTCATTGCAAATCCTGACATCAATTTAAACAATAACATTTTCACGGAACGGGTCGCAGGACGTCATTCTATGTCGTCTATTAACTACATCTTAACAGAACTTTCGCATCAGAGATATGGCACTTAAATACTCACATCACACATAGCCTTACCACAAATTGTGTCCAGGGTACACAAATTAACCCAATTGTACAAGTCAAACCCTTTATCAGTCTGCATACGATACTCCTTGTCCAAATTGTTTATCAGCGTACAGGATTCACGTTCAAAGACCCCAACGAATTTTTCCAATATTTTAAAATGAAATGCCGGCGTAAGAACCTTTCGACGCGAATGCCATTTCTTGCCACGACTAATTAGCAAACCTTCATTTAGCCATGGCTGCAATGATGAATATTCTTGGGCTTTGTCATTGAACTGGGTAGTGCCCAAAACCGCTTCCACATCTTTGACATCACCCAGGAGTATGTGGAATTCTGGACCTATCCACAGCTTATATGTGGGTCCATACTTCTCACAAAATTCCTTAAACAATTGCACGTACTGATGCGACTGCTTGCCAAGAAAGTGGTGGCCATGGCCAATTAGAGGTAGAGAAGGAGGACTAGATATATTCCGGGTCGCATCTAGAATATGCTTGTACTTTTGAAAATATACGACAAGGCCAAATGCGGTCAAAGTCGCCACAACTGCACCGAAACAGATTGCAAGGTTTATTATGCCGCCGATCATGTCGTATTAGCAGCACGCTCGGTTGGATTTGGACTGCGTTAACACAATGCCGGCAGTTTTGTTTTCGGACACTTCTGAATTGGAATGATTAGATTAAAGAAGTGCTTATCAAGAACAATAACAATAAAAAATGCTCTAAGAGCCCACAAAACATTGGACTTCAAAAAGTTGTTTTGATAAATGGAGGGTTTAATCGGACAAAGAGAATAAAGAATTGCATGGGCATTTCCAGAAATATATTGGTAATTTGAATATTTGACTCAACAATTCGATCAAGAGGATAAGATTATCACTATATATCAATCTCATAACCCAGATAACGCAAGATATTGTTTCTGTTTCTTTAAAATAGAATATTCAATATTTATACCCAAATATAATATTTGTAATTTTGCACTTTTTGGATAATATAGTCAATGCTCGTTATAACGAGCAATTGCATTCAATGCATTTCAAACAAAAAAAAAGATAATTAGATATTTAACTCATGCGTTATATCCCGATTTCCAATGATTTTACAATTCCAATGATTTTACAATGAAGCTACGAGAGTGGACAACTAGACACAACCACAATGTAATTAAAAAACAACAACTTTACGCCTTCTTTTAAGCAGTGATGTTGAGATTATTAAAAGGACAATGACGCCAAACGATTTGCGGCTAGACTAAGTTTGGGAGTTTAGTGTTTGTGGAAACCTAGCCAATACGCAATCGTCTCTTACCACAAATCGTGTCCAAAGTGCACAAATTCACCCAATTGTACAGATCAAATCCGTGCGTCGATATCGATTGCATGCGATACTCTTTGTCTAAATTGGTCAACAGTGCTCGGGATTCCCTTTCAAAGATCTCAATGAATGTTTCCAGAATTTTGAAGTGGAATGCCGGTGTAAGAACTTTTCGGCGAGAATGCCACTTTTTGCCGCGACTAGTTAGCAAGCCCTCTTTCAGCCAAGGTTCCAAAGTAAGGTACTCGTGGGCCTTGTCGTTGAAGCGTGTTGTGCCCAATACTACTTCGACGTCCTTCAGGTCGGACGTCAATATATTCAACTCGGTACCGAGCCACACCTTAATCGTGGATCCATACTTGCTGGCAAATTCGTACATTGTTCGGACATTTTCATGGGGTTCTTTGCCCACAAAATGATGGCCATGTCCCACAAGTGGCAAATATGGTGGACTTGGTATATTCTTAGTAACCTCAATCATGTGCCTGTATTTTACGAAATACAAAATCAAACCGACTACCGTAAGGATTGCTAGGAATCCGCCGGTATACAAGAACGTGTTTATCAGGACGGTAGCAGGCATCTTCTATCGTCGATGAAATTTCAATTTGTACTGAGCTCTTGCACTTATTGTTAGGCATTTTTCAATTTTTAATCTAATCGTATTTCAACAATACAAAACAAATTATCGCATTGCCCAAACCTCAAGTTCATTTTGGATAGACTAGTCTATTATTGGAATTATGTATATTGGATTTTATTGTTTTGAGGCCAACTCGAATGGTTCTTCGGGCCGGGTCAATACTGATAAAAACCATTATTATTCTAAGTAGCACAACTTCCCCTCGTTCTTCTTTTTTTGCGTGTATTGACACTTAGGATACCTCGTATTTTTTCACAGCCGAATCTAACTCAAAAATATTTACCACAAATCACATCCAGGGTATACAGGCTTATAATTTCATACAAATCAAACGATTGATCGCCGCCTTGGTCCGAAGAAAATCTCCGCATTCTGTCCACCATGTGATGAGACTTCCCATCGAAAACCGTTATGAACTCGGCGAGGATGTTAAAATGGAAAGCCGAAGTTAATAGTTTACGGCGCTTAAACCACTTACGACCGGTCGAAATGAGCAATCCCTCACGCAGCCACGATTGCAAGGCCTGATATTGATCCGCCTTCTGCAGATGTGTCATGGAACCCAGTATGGCTTCTACATCCTCGAGCTCTGAGAATACCATATTCAACTGGGTTCCCAACCAAACTTTTAGTGTTCTATGGCTCTCGCCCATAGACCAAATGCGTTGCATCATCAAATGGGCCGGTATTCCAATGAAATAGTGAGCATGACCCACAATCGGCAATGCAGGGGCGCTGTAAATCCTTCGGGTTTTGTCGATTTTTGGTTTAAATTTAAGAAAGTACACAACAGCAGCAATTGTGGCGAGAATCAATGACAGGCTTGTTGTTATCCTCAACCACAGCTCCAGTCCATCATTATACAACATATAGGCAATAAAAAAGGTACACTCTGCGCTTCAACAAAATCAAGAAGTTCTTTTAGAACTCGAAAATGTTACTGAACTGGACACAATATTTTGGCAAATGGACGCGAACAGATAATGTTTTTTATTTATTTATACAAACGTTTTCTTGAATATAAATCAATATGGACTGTCCATAGCTGATAAGTCTGAGTTCCGCGATAAGCTTATGAGGTTATTGTACATTTGCCTATTTTCGGCAACAGTCTGGCAGCACAGACAGACATGTATCATCTCAATTTATTGGTATTGGTATGTGACAGTAGATGGAAAAGTATTTATCGAAGCTATTGGTATCTTACGTCCAATTCTGATTCATGGAGGAGAAGGCGAAGAACACCAATGGAGCAGATAAACATATATATATATAAACAGCGGAAGGATTTCGAAAAGTCAACGGTCGAGATGTTTCTTGTTTCTCTTTTGCTGAATATCAGTCATTTTTTTATTCTTTTTTCGTTGAACGCAGTCTCAAGCCTATGTATTCGGCATACTGCATGCTCAAAATTTAAAAATGTATCTAAACATTTTAATATTATGATGATATTGTAGAGTTTTGAATTAATATAAATATAATAAAATTACAGAAATTCACCGAAGCCAATTGAGATGATATTCAACGTCAACAGACCATGTGTACTGTTGTATCTTTGTGAAAAGTTCACCATGACACCATTCAATGGCGGAACGCATAAAACTCAGTATCTGAATTCAGTAGGCGAACCTTGGTCAAGATTTCTGTCATAAATAATTGTATGAAAAACCAGAATTTGATTAAGGCATTCTAATGTTTTCAACAAGTCTTACTGAGCCTTAATTCTAAATTCACTTGCCACAAATAACATCCAGTGTTGCCAAATTTATCCAGTGGCCCATATCGATATCATCCTTATACTCGATCCCGGCGTTACGCCCCAACTAGAAGTCGGGTATTACTTTCGAAGATTTCCACATATTCTTGAAGTATCGAAAAATGAAATGCTGGTGTTAGGATTTTTCGCCGCTTGAACCATTTATGGGGCTTGCTCAGCAACAAACCTTCGCATAACCATGACTGATGAACGTTATATTGGCTAGATTTCAACAGAAAATTGCTAGTGCCCGGAATAAATTCCAAATCCTTCACATTTGACATGAATAAGTTGAATTCAGTCCCAAACCAGAATTTCACTGTTTCGCCATACATCTCACACAGGCTCGCTACGATTTTGAAGACAACCTCTGGTGGATGGCCATAAAACAGATTGGCATTGCCAACAGTGGGCCACGGTGGAACGCCAACAAAATTCTTGGATAGCTGATGTTGTCGGTAGTAACGTTTTAATGTGGGCAAATATCGGAAAAAGGACAGCACAAGAAATGTCGCTATCAAGCTGATGAGATACATTGCAGAACACGAGAGTACTTCAAGCTGAACTGTACATGTCCCACCTTGCACTCGTATGACTGAATAAAACAACTGAACCACAACTAATAGTTATTAAATATAACGTCTCAACGGTTGGGTGGATGCATGGATGGATGAATGGCAGTGTTGACTACTGATAAGACACCAACGAAATCCTAATCCATGTAATCAAATGCAAATAATTGGTCTGTTCCCGTACTGCAAGAAACTACTAATTTTTACTGTTTTGTTCGATATCAGAAAGGAAAAATTATTATCGTAATAAAAAACAGTAGATACTTGTAGTACAATTTCGGTCATTTCAAAATCGTAGAGACAATTTGTTCACTCCTTTTTTTATTATGTGAGTGGATTGAGAGGAAGAGATTACTTCACACAACCACTTGTATTGGTAAATTTAGCCTGATACAACAATCAACAATCAAGTAACGAATATTCGTTTCATACTCAATTCAATGTCCAGCATCTTAGAACTTTGTGACATATTGTACAACATATAAATCTTGTATATATTTTTTAACTTGATTTTGCTCCACCTGAAATGGACTTTTTGCCAAAAAAAAAGTGGATTCCTGGCCCATAGTAAAAATTACAATACATCAGGCTAGATACAAGCTTGTCATATTGGATAGTATTTTGTTTGTTATTGAGTCCAGTTCCATGCGTTCCATATGTTTTATGCTCTGATTTAAATTGAGATGACTTGATTTTCATTGCAAAATGTCGTTAGGAAAATATGAAATAATAATTTCTCATTTATCTTTAATATCAAATGTGCGAGCATAGAAACAGTCTTCACACATGGCTTGCTTCCTTATTGGCTACCCGCAATTCTATTAACAATATTAAATATTGATAATTATGGGTTTCAATTATCTCTATTTACCGGGACAACTACAAGTTGCCACCATTTATCAGCAGCCGGTGGCCGCACATCAAAAAGATGTGCGGCAATAATGAGAATTGCCGAACATTTTTGCATTTTTCACAATCAGGAGAACATTTGTTTAATGAAATGTCGACATCGGTTATTACACGAAAACTAATTAATCAAATTAATGCGACTATTAAGTAGCCAACACAGAGTGTATGGCATGTGCGGTGAGAGAACATAAAAAAACATGTCCTATATATTTTGATTTGATCTCTTTGGTTTTTGTAACGGCATCATACACATTCGGAAATAATATTTCAAGTTCTTTGGCCGCTGTTGGTCCAAAGCGATCTTCACTCTGTTCACTTCGAACACATACACACACATCACCCATTGACGTTTATTACACCCAACGCATCAATGGAATGTTGAATATCTGTTCTTCTGGGAGAATAGAATGTGGCAGGTAGAATCATGATTGCTTTGCGCCATTCGGTTATGACCACCAAAAGTTTGTTTACCCTAGCAGCAGTCAGTGACGATGCTCAGGCACTGGCGGAGATGCTTATGAGGATGATGTGAGTTGGTATAGATTATGGTGTGGATTACTCACTCGGTGAATAATTCGGTTTAATTTCGAAACATACAGGTTATAATCGTCACCAAGAATATTGAACAAACACGTTCCATGCTGGTTTGCAATCAATCCCAAAACATTTTGGAAATGCGAATTTAAATTCTTGTTGAAACAAAATGTGAAGTCAACACTATAGAGATATGTTTCACGATTAAGCAACCGAAAGTATATATTATCCCTCCAGAAAGATAATGAGTTATAAGGGACCATTTTTGAAACCGTACAGGAATGCATTACATCTCCTATATCTGGCCACATGTATTGACAAAAGAGGAGGGAGGATACAATTTAGTATTTATTCAAAATTGTGACTTTAATACACATCTTGTACTTCTTCTACATCAAAATGCAGCAATGTTTTGAAATCGAATCAAATTTGTCTTGATATTAGAATAAATTGTTGAATTAATTTTTAATGTAATAAATATTTCATTGTGTGGCTGTTTTGCATTTGCATTCATATGACACAAAGGTAGTCGTGTTAAATTAATTATATCGAATACATATATGTATGCATATGTGTTAGTGAATATAATATCGCGTACTTGCGAGAATATTCGTTGGAATGAAATCCGTATTCAGGAAGTCTGGTGTACCCCTTATGACAGACAGGACGCCAGAAATGTTCTCTTAATTAACATATATATATATATATATTATGTGATGTAAGTTAATAATCTATGAAAGACCGAGAAAACTGAACTACCGCTGTCGAAACCCATATGCAAGAAAACATTCCCCTATATATGCAAGGATTAATGGATGCACCATACATGGGATGCATTCAAGATTAATGCTAACATGACAGCGACCAACAATTAAATGAATCTATAGGCCACCACTTACACATAATAAAATACTTATAAATTGTAATTCAATTTCCGAAGAAGAAACAATAACAGATGAAAAAAACAGCAACAACAACAAGTGGATGAAATAACAAACACGTTCAAATTTTGGCCAACGACGAAGAAAAATAATAGATACGAACGAATTCCGTTGGCCCTTCCACCACCTACCTAGACACCATGTACCAGCACTTGTCACCTTTCATTGTTATGGTATTATAGGGCAGCAGCCATATGACGAACGTCACTTTGCATATCGGGACAGATCACTCGTTTATCATGTGCTTTGCCAGAGCGACCGAGCGAATATTGAACATTAGATGGTACCTGGTTGCAAGTGGGTGAATGAAAGATTGATTGATTGACGAAACCAGTGCAATGCTCATATCTTATACAACAAATCAACATATTTCGTTATGAGCAATATATATATATATGTATATATATACTGAGCTTGGAAGTTATTTTGAAACACAGCATGCATATGGGTAAAAAAATCTTATAGCTCATAATAAGATTTGGTATGACTCCCACACAATGTGTCTTGAAAAATTCACTCTATTGGCCTTAAACATCGTTAATATTAAACTAAATTCGAGAAAAATTGGCAGAAGCAAATGACGATGTGCAAACCATTTAAGCATTTAAGTATTATTGTTTTTATTCAGCCTGTTGTTTTTCCTTATTGCCCATTCAAAAATATTGCCAACATGATTCAGAATACCAACAATCGTGGATATATTAATGAAGCGTATCTAAAAATATCCGCTTGTTAGAAATTGATGGCACATGATGCCATCTGTCATAGCCACCCCTCTGGGGGTACAAATGGTATACCGTATTGTTGATTTAAAACGAAAATGTCATAAAACTATCGAAAACGAAGACAAAGTGTTTAGAATATACTTCAACACCAGCGCCATTCATACGTACGTACGTAACTAGATAGAGATATGTATGGCGAACAATTAAACAGACAAAAATGTGATTCGGTTCTTCATAATTGTTTTGTTTTGTTGGAATAATTTTTCCTTGGGTGATTCACACTCTAACGGTATTTTTGGATATATTCGTAGGTTTATGTGCTTGTAGAGATTTTCCCTTACAACAAATATTTAATTTATGAGTGGAACAACAACTGCCTCAACGCAGTTTTGCTAATTGTGCAATCATCTACCTTGATAAAGAACATGTGATTTATAGGGAAGTGTCATCCCCAACGGAAAGACAAATTTAATATACCCTTCATCGAATGGGGGGTATGTAAAAGTAAAATGAAATTTTGTTGAGCATTTTGCTTATTTTCGTTTCGTAAATTATATTTGTAATTCTCTTAATATTCCAAAAAGTCAGCAAACGAAATAAAAACAACACATTTGTAAAAAAAAATAAAAAGAAGAGGATGTGTTTTAAAATATGATGCATACGATATTTGTTCCATCACGCAAGAAATGCACATATGACCAAATTTAGTAAGAATTGAAAAAAATGTTTTCATGAATGAATGGATGGATGGATGGTGTCACAAACATTCAATTATTTTTTTTTAGATGGCATGAGTAAAATACACATCCATTCAAATGGAAGCCGATTTGAATCTATCTAGTCAATCAAAAAAATTGAAAATCTTAAACAATTTAGAACAAAAAATAATTTTTAAATTTATTTCATATTGTTTTGTTATTTTGGATTTGTGTTATTTGGACTCGGCTTAAGATATATGAAAACATGCATTGGGCCATTGTACCTGCATGGGTACAGCCTCAAAAACCATCAAAATACTAGATTTCACCCAAAAATTGTGAATTATTAAATATTTTCATGTTGAAAATGTAACCCAAACGACAACCGTAGAATATAAATTGTTTTGCTTCGATTACCTATAAATTAATTTTACTTCTTATCTTCTTCGTGCAGAAGTTTAAGGGTTTCCATTGTTTTGTCAGTGAATTGAATAATTTTAATTTTGTTTTCATAACTTTTCGAGAAAATAGTTTCAAGTCAGTTCTATGTTTATAAAACTATAAAACAGATTGCATAAAACCAATAATGGTTTTAAAAATAAAAGTTAGATGACCAGCAATAATGTTTAATTTTTATTGCATACATGGATTGAGAAATATCGCAAGCAACTATCATTTCGGGGGAGAAAAAAACATTTAATATTCCAAACATAAATATCCCACTGTCCTGGGCAGAATACTTCTTCGCAATAATATTAAATATATGATAATATACATACACATATTTATATTAAGACATTATTTTCATTTTTTTCGCCCATTATGAAACTTGAAAAAAAAAACAAACGCCAGTTTTTTTTTTCGGCAATATTTCGGACAAAGAACAACACAAACCGCACAACAAATCAAGCAACAATAAAATAGAAACCACAGCGGCGACGCCAAAACAAATGACGTAAATTAGCGACAAAGATCAAATCGTTAAATAAAATTTAATTCTTCATTCAGAAAATATGCGAAAAGAACCTCCGAACCAAAAGGAAATTGTTACAGATACATCTGATTGAGATGCGTGTATACAGGCATCTTCAAATCTGGAAAACTTTTCTTGATTCGAATAGCTGTTATAAATTATTAACTGATTAAATGCCAACGGTAACATTATTTGTATCTATATAATGTTTAAATGATATTAGTATTCAATCAAGTGATTTCGAGACTAGGTTCGTTAATAAACCTTGCCTGATACAAATTGGTCGCATCGGAATATATCAGGAGTATTACCTATCCCCTTTAAATGTTAGATATGAAATTAAAGGGAGTAAAACAGTTTCAAATCTTCTACGTTGCTTGGTTCCTACACAATCTAGTTTATTCAAAATAAAATAACTGAAAATAACAATTATTTACTAAATTAACTAACAAAACATACTCATAGCGTTGCCGTTGTCTCTGAGACACTTCCTCTCTTACACAAATGTCTGTTTTACGGAAATGTTCAATCAGAGCACTTCCGAAAAGAGTATCGCTCAAAATCTATTTAAAAACTAAAAGCCAATTCATGTCTTAGGTATGCCGTTGCCATGTTTTGTTTGTGTCTGTGTGTGTTTTGTTTGCGGTACTCAGTGTGAGATATCTAGTTGACTAGCTGTTGTGCATGTATGCGTTGGTATTTTGACCAACAGTATACGTCAACTAGCTCTGTGCTCATTTAACCAAAATAAGAGAAAATCAAAGAAGTGTTTGGGGCAATGGAGAAGAGACGATACAACAGCTGTTGCTTGCAATGGCAACAGCAACACAATGGCTGTTTTGCTGCTGTTCGACATCTTAGCATTTGTTGTTGTTGTTTTTGTTATTAACATAACAACCTGAATGGAGTGATCTTTTCATTTCATTTTGTTTTTTTTTTACTTTTATTGGGGGGGATATAAATAAAAATATGTTTGCAATGTTATGCTCACTTTTGTCCCGATTATTCAACGGAAAAGAAGTGTCTTCGAACACAAAGTATTCCCGAAGAAGAAGACAAACGCCCAGTCTGCAAGGAAAATTCAGCAACAACAAAGAAGAAACAAAAAGGCAAACACGTGAATTGAGAAATCTGAAATACAAATAAAGCATTTCTGCTTGTGAACATTTTTGTTTATGAATGAATCTGTCCCGAAAATATTTGGTCTCCTTCCCGCAATGAAAACTCTCCAACTCAACAATACCCACACCTACATACATAGTAAATGTGAATAATAACAAAAATATACAGCTATATCTGTGTGAATTATACTAGATATGAAAACGATTCTGGCAAAGTATGAAAATCTGAAAACTTATTAATAAAAGCCATCCGCAACATTCGAAAAGACATCATTTGCAGAACGGTCGTCAAAGTGAAAAGATATTAATCTCTTAAAACAAAAAGTAAAAGAAAAAACAAACAAGAACACATCTCGGCTAAAAAAATAAGAGGCCAACATTCAAATAACAAATTTATTTTTTTTTCGACAAACAATAAAACCCTACCAAAAATTAAAAAAAGAAAAACTTATACAAATACCAATCACATTAAAGAAAGTGCTATCGTTAATATAGACAAACAAAAAACAAAGAAAGCATCAAAAGCAAGCTGTAAATTCATCGATATCGATTTAAATGATTTATTTATTTTTTTTGGATAATTGTTTAAGTCGCGCGCACAACAAACCGAAACAAAATAGAAACCGACAGCGGCTGGCACTATTTTAAGTGAGCTGAATAAGTGTAATTATTATAACGGTTATATTTCCATTGGCCACAAACGACTTTATTCGTCTGTCGTCGCTCTTCTGTACCATTGTCACACGCAGCGATTTTACGCATAAGCGCCCCTTAATTGTATCGCAGCAGTGTAGAGTGCCGTTTTGAAGAGTTTAACGTGCGTGTTCTATTTGACAGCGTGTAGTCAGTCATACATACTTGAGACTAAGTTGCATTTATCGCAAACATAATTAATAGAAAAACAACAAACCAAACATCTTACCACAAAGATTATCATTTCAACGCATTTTTTGTGATTTCTGTTGGCAATTTTGTTAAACGGACATCTTATTAGCAATGGCGGATTTATCACACGAATTAGGTGCACTGCGCTTCGTTATGGTAAGTTAACACTTGATCATATATACATATACATATATTGTTTTTATTTATCTCGTATAAATAGGAACTTAATGGCAGGATAGTTTAGATTTGGGGTTTTTAAGCCCATATAGAAATATGTTATATATTTATATAAAGTACTAATTTTGGGGTGTTTTTGGGACTTGTTGTAAGTGGTCTCGTTATAGTGATTTACCCGCTCCAATTACATTTCAGCAATTACCAATATATTCTTCCCAAATAATTTTCGAATAATTCTCCTTTTTTAATTGGAACATATAATATTTGTTTAAAGGGTTGTTATTTTCTTCAGGCAATATTATTAAAGTGCTTTGAATCTCTGTCTCTCTACTTACATTTCTGAAATTACCATATAGCACACTTTTCGAATAATATAATCGATATGAAAGTTGGCAAATTTAAAGCATTTTCATATTTTAAGATTTCATCTGTCTGTCGGTCAATTATTGCTGGCATTTTGAATTGCTTAATAACCTACAGAATAATCTTACTGTATTAGCAGATTTATAATTTTATTTTCAAAATCTGGATTTTTATATATGAAATTATTTAAATTCTACTCTTTTTACATACTTCCGTTGGCGAATAAAGTCTTCAAGTCTGTTTTAATAAACCCATATATATTCGTTTACTCCACGTGATTAAGATGTAGCTTATCAAATTAAAATTATTAAAATAAAATAACTAATTTGATAATCTGGTTTGGTCACTAAGTCCTTATTATTATTATATATATATATATTGGGTCCATTTAACCCCTTGATCTGCATGTGAAAATAGTGCCACCAAAAAAAATCTGCCTAACGACCAGTCACTCATCATCATTCTAGTTTCTTACACCGTATATAATAATGCTTGGAAACAGCAATTTGCTGTGGTGACACTCTCTACAAGCCATCAACGCATAACGACATTTCCCACTTAAAACTCAAACAAGTTATTGTGCCAATGCACAGTCGTTTGAATCTTGTGAAATATCGCATTGTCTTGCCGTTAGATTAGACACAGTCTCAAACTCTTCATTCCATTCAAATTTAACGGTGGCAGCTTGTCTTTCAAATGCACACTACACCAAATAATGGCCCCCCTAATAATAAACACAAAAACCCAACAACTTTCGACCTTGATTAATTATGATGTCTGACGATATCCATGGTTTCATGCAAGTTTTGTTTTATTAATCCAAAGAGAAAGTGGCCTAGCTTTTTTGGTGTGGTATGGGTAATTAATTAGTGGAAACCCTGCAACAACACCTGTTATGAAAACAATGCTTCGAAATGGAACTGTTCACAGCCCTTTAACTAACACTGTCATGCAACAGCAATCCGACCCTAATCAGAGCCATGAGTGAGAAAATTGGTTTAGTATACATTCTTCTTTGGTTGCTGCTCGATCGGTGCGAAGTGGGGCGATTTGTTATGAAAAGAAATGAATACTTAAAATTTGGGATTGGGTGCAGCATAAATAGGGTTACATTTACGGACATATGTTTGTATACTCACTATAAATAAACGGTAATTGTTGTTGTCCGTTGTTAACTGTATTAATTGTATGATACCTACCATCTAACACACTCTGTTCTAAATTAAATTACACTCTACCCTGAACTACTTTTAATGGCCATAAATTTAATGAAATTTATTTTTTCCGTTTTCCTGGAAGTCCTTTATTCTCTTCAATGACAACAAATCATAAATCATTAAATAGTAAATATCTAAACTATTTGTCAGCAAATTTGGGGCAAAGGAGTTCAACAAATGGGCTGCCTAGACAATATTAAATACTTTTATTTCAAAAATAAATGAAACATAACCATACAGTGGGTACACCATGGGAACACATCTTGTTATCCAATCTTTGGGGTTTCTTCTTTTTCGATGGGTGTTAATAAAATAAATAAATGCCAGACAACAAAAATATACACTTGTTTAGAAACACTATAGATTGCTGACATGATCAACGACGCCATTTCGTTCCGAACCATATAATCGGATGGACACACAATGTTCTACACATTTTAACCTCGTTGACGGTCAAAGTCAAGTGAGCAGGAATCGCAGAACGCCAACAAATGTTTACACTCTCGCGCCATGTCACTGAAAAGTGTGTGGTATTTTGGGCTGTTAATCTTTTGATCTGAACAACCACGTTGATCTGTGCACATTACAAGTACCAGTCAATTGTTGATGGACATGGGAATATCTAACTTGCTTCCAGTCGTTCAAATAATCCCAACCCGGTGATTCTTGATATTTTGTTAATATCTACTACTAGATATGTATACACTTGGTGGAAATGTTTCCGTTCTTGCGAGAACAACCTAATGTCCATGGGCAACAAATCCGATTTTCTTCTATGGCAAATTGTTTTCAATGTTAAAGACATCCAACATTTGGCTTTGACTATGTTAGTTAATATGTGCAAATATTTTCTTGGCATTGGCGTCAACACATGTGCGACTATGGCGGAAAAACTCAAGACACCAACAACAGCAACAACGAAGCAAAGCAAATGAAAATATTTTAATTCGCTGAAACACGGACGCCCCCCGTTATTGGCCATGCCAAGAATTCAAGTGATCTGTTCTTTACTCACTCATGCAAACAACAACAACAAAAAACAACAAGGAAAATAAGTATGTGCGCCAGAATAGTACATTAAATACAATACAACAACAACAACAACAACAGAAATAAATAGAATATTTCAAAAATTGATATGAAATGGTCAAGTGTTTTCCTTTTTCTGGTTATTATTATTTAAACAAAGACATATAAAAACCCCAAAAAAAACTATATTCACTCTATTTTTTACGATTTATATATACACATATACCACACAAACACGCACATATGTACACATATATACTATAATTATACTTGTCGTTTTTCTTAAAATGTAAGGAATTCGCCATGATTTATTGGAAAACATTTGGAAATTCCTGAAATACCAAAGAAATTCAAATAGAAAAATAAAGATAGATATAAAATAAAAAATGTTTTAGATGGGATTAGTGGACTGGGATATAATATGTTATGGTACTCAGACAGTTTTTTTACTCACCGATATCCCGAAATGACAAATTACAGACCCTTTGTAATATTAAAAATCACTGGCGCCTAGGGCCATCTAAATACCTATAAAGCGGTTGTGCCTTTTTATGGTTTCTATACTTTTATATACCTTTTGATAGGAATATTCACCCAATGACAGCTCAAAATATAAATTAGAACCAATTTGGTTCGAAAATGTACCTAAATACCGAATAATTAGGGGTATAGTTATATGTGACGGCTACCCCGAAAAATGGAACATTGGTGTCGTTTCCATTCTATGATTCTAGGATTTAGTAAATCCAGTGGGTTTCAAATGTCAATTCCATTCCATATATGCCAAATAAATCCTCATAAAGGAAGGTAAAGCTGCTAAAAGTTCTAATCGACACGCCAATTTACGAGCTAGATCTACATAGAAAATTATTCTGATCAAGAGGTGGTCCAAGGTGCTACAAACGGAATTAAACTCCACCTTTGGGTATATGTATATAAATATGACTGCGTTATTATCCTTAAATTCGTCCGAATCAACAATTGCTTGTGATTGTCATTCCACAATTCGGCTCCGCATTGCCACAATTACGATAAGGTAAAAAAAAAAAACAAATTAGACCACCACAGCCAAAGAAAAAAACCAAAAAAGGGTTCGCTGTAATTGTCACTGACGAGCAATTTGTAGAAACAAAAATACATATTTTCTATGATTATATTCCAAAGCTTGTTCAATCCAATAAAAGGTACCCTCCTAATTCACGTATTTACCAAAAAAAGATTCTACTCGTATCCTCCCCTGGACCAATTTTTTTGTTTTTGTAATTGCTGCGCTACAGCATCTTTTTTCGTAATCATTTTAAACGTTCACACATTGCTATGCCAACTATTGCCAATTTTGTGTCTTTATCGTTGTTTTTCCCCCGGCTATTCATTCATTCATGATATCTAAAAGTAGAAAAAAGGAAAATTTGGCTCTAATACGAATCAATTAAAATCCAAGTGTTATGCCATTGTAACGACCGAACTCTGTTGCTAGCCTGGCCCGTGCCAACATCTTTACCATTTTGTTTACCGGCCATTGCAAATGAAAAGAATTTGATTTATTTACGTCTTATTTGGGCGAGCGGACGGACACTCGTAGTCGAGCAGAAAAAATTGTCGATTCAGTACCACTCGGAAACTAACCCAAATATATTTTAGTTTAGTGCAAATTTTCAATTCAGCAAACGGGTAAAACTAAAACAAATCAAATATTAGTTCTTTTGTAAATTTACTTAAATATCGTTTTTTTTTTTTATTGGATGTTGGTTAAATATCGACTAACAACAAGCCGATTTTCTTATCGAGTGTTATATTTCAAGAGACTGATTATTATTCGTCTTCGCGATAGATTGTAACCAAATGGTTCTGAATGCTGTGTGCATTCGAAATGAAAGAACAATTATTACAGTTTTATGTTTAGAACTTACTGGATGTTAGTGGATACGTTTATTCTTAGAAGATATAACAACTACGATCCGCTGTTTTACAGCACCTGTGGCTCAGTTATAAATGCATTGGTTCAAAAAAAAAATTATTATTTTCACCTCGTTTCTGTAAAATTCCAAACATACGAATACGAGCAGAACGAAACGAACGAATGGTAGTACCACTATTACAGAAAATCGATAGTGAATTACATTCTTTATGCGAATTGTGAATTTAGGAGACATGTATATTTAGATGTTGTATAATTACCTTTTACAGAATTTTTGAGAAAAAACAAAACAACTGGACTACTTGTCGAAGAGATGGAAATGTTAACGAACACACCTAATATTTTACGACGAGTATTTCCCGATTTTACATTTACTACATGATATGAAATTCTAACAACAACCGCGAGCGTAATATTGTTGACAAATAAAACGCAATTAGATTTTTAATTAAAATATTTATTTTATGACGTTGCCAAAATATTTCTTTGTAGATGATAGTGCGGATGAAATGTCTAAAATCGAATTCAAGGTTAACTTTTTGACATTCTTTTTAAATTTTGAAATGACTATGCACAAAATTCGACATGACTCATTTTTACACACATTCAAAAGCGTCTACTTGTTGCTAATGTATTTGGATGCAGATAAAAATGCAGATTGTGAATAGTGGTGGACATATTCAAGCATACATGCAAGTTTAATAAATGCCGCATAGCTTTTTCAAAAATAAAGATATCGTGTTGGTTTTTTCACTTTTAAATCGGGTACTTTATTCACTTTATATGGAATAAATAATAATTTAGGGAATGGGAATTGTCTCAATTTTTGCTTGAACAAAACTAAAGCAACTCTACAATACAAACCGATGGGCTCTACAATTTTAGTTAATTTTTAGTGTTATAATTCGATTCTTAACCCACAGGAAACAAACTGTTTTAGAGCTTATATTTAATAGGCAGTCAGTAAATATATATTACGGTATGAATGTGGACGACACATATCAAAAGAGAAATTTAAAATAATTTATTGGCAGATTTCTTGTAAAGTATCGATCAAACTATTTATATGTTTGCTGTTTTTTGTTTGTTGCGTTCAGTTGTGAGTTACGGGGTGTTAAAAATGGAAGTGAACAAAGAGAAAATTCGGTACATTTTACAGTTTTTCTTTGACAAATGCGTAAATATAAGCCAAGCGGCTTAAATTGTGAATGGTATTTATGGATCCGATACTGTAACAGCCAATTATGTGCAATTTTGGTTTCGTAGCTTCCGTTCAGAAATTTTTGATGTTAAAGATGTACTATGCCGAAAATGTCGATAAAATGGGAGAAATTATCGAAGTTGACCGGCATGTTAGCAGTCGTAACATCGCCCAGGAGCTAAAAATCGACCACAAAACTTTTTTGTGCCATTTACACAAAAAAAAGAATAATGGATTTCCTTTTTCTTTGTGAGATCGGTTTGTTTGCTGAAGAAAATATATCGCTTGTTTGGGTGTTTCAGCTTGACAGTAACCTCCAAACATACACCAAAAAATGTCAAAGATTGGTTGATGGAGTAAAAAATTCGGGTTTTATAATGGCCAACACAATCATCAGATTTTTACCCTATAGAAAAATCTTTGGAGTATAATAGATAGCATAGCAAAATCAGAAGAGTTTCACAAGCAAACTGACATAACCTCTTCCCAAGGGTTCAGGATGCAAGGCCTATATATATTACTTTATAAGAATTTCGTTTTCAACAGTTTTGAAAATGAAAACTTGTCAGGCAATCCTAACCAAAATTTTTCAAATTTATTTAAATTCTTCAAAATCGATTAGTATATTTTTCTTCCAAAATTGTACCTAATGGAACAGGTTTCGAGATATATATATATATATATATATATACCATTATGATCAGTATCGGTATTTTAAATTGTATGTGTGTGTGTGTTTTTTTTTCAGGACTCCCCACTATCTTCAAAAGTAGCCATGTTCAATAATCAAGTCAATCAGCACAAGCAGTCTCAGCTTTTAAATCCATTCTCGCAAACGGATGGCCGCTCTTCACCAAAGCCCACATTCTCCAAAGATGAGTACGGCAAGTAAGTTACACACAGTAATAACGACCTCTCCCTATGGTATTTATCGATGTAAATCAATTTTTTTGCAGGCCCCTGGCAGGAAGTTTAACAGAAATGAGAGGACAAAAGGCCAATATTCACGTGTTGAAAGAAATGTTGGAGCTTTGTCAAATTATTGACTCGGAAGGTTACAATGTCAAGGATGAACCACAAATGCGCGTCATACCCTTTGGAGAGCTATTTAATGTGAGTTGGAGATGAGCGTTTCAGTTTTTGTTTGACAAAATAAAATATCTCTTGTGTTTTTAGATCTACAACTACATCTCTGACAAAGTTGTGGGGATTCTACTTAGAGCCCGCAAACACAAACTGGTCGAATTTGAGGGTGAGATGCTCTTCCAAAGACGTGACGATGATGTTCCAATTTTCTTGTTGAAGCCGATATCGGAGATACGACATGAACTAAATGATAAGATAGAAAGCATTAAACGATCGGGCAGTCCTGCTCCACAAGCCACTTCGGTATTGTTGGATAAGAAGGCGCATGGCTTAGATGTTCCTAGAGGCGGTACACCTGTGTCACGTACTCCAACACCACAGTCCTCGAAGGCTGCCTCGCCAGTACGTGAAACAAAAAAGACCAAATCTAAGGCTGCGGCTGCTCCTACCCCACTTGAAGTACCAAAAATTCAACTAAGCGGGGAAGCAGACGTAAAGGATTCACCTAAATCAGAAAATACCGAAAATCAACAACAAACCCAGGTTCCTGTTTCCCAAGAGGAAGCGCCCGAACAAACAGAAGCTGCTGCAGTACCGACTGAGACAACAATACCCCCAGTACAACAAACCCAACAACCCACAACAGAAGATCCGGCGAACAAAAGCGACGTCAACAACAACCCAGCCGATCTGCCAGTCGTTGAAGTCATTGAAGCTACAGCCGTCTATGTCCGATCGAACAATAACGGATCTGTACCACCCACCAGCAACACTGAAGCTGCAACGACGCCGGCCGCCTAAAATCAGCAACACTAGTTTATAATCCCATCCGATTAACCTATCGAAAAGTACATTAGCTCCTAAGTAAAACTAACTTTTCACGTAATACGTGTACGCAAAGTGGACGGAGAAACCGAATTGAGTAGCAACCTTCCCATAACTTTTTTGTGGAATGGGCTTTCGTTTCACGACTCCCTAGAGTGCAGTATTGTAGACAGGTGTAAATAGCTAACGAGTAGCAATGTATCAGAGTAATAATAAGTTTGTCATTTCTAACATTTCCTTTGGTCCTTCTGTAGTAGCTAATCATCTCATATCGTGGCTCCATGAAGAGCAACCATCAAATGTGTATCATACATACATAGTTATATTATGGTTATTTATTTATATATACTTCTATAGTGATATCTGAAAAAAAACAGCAACACAAAATCATTAAACATAATTCAATAAAAAAAAACATGTAATCTTAACAATTACATTGAATTGTTGGCATCATTAACAATTTGCATTGGTGTCATTGCGGTAAGTTAAATATGTTGGATAATTCCCAAACGCTGCCTTTTCATTCTAACTTTATATATGAATATAGGCCGAGACCATAATATATACGCTTTGTAGTCGATTTTAACAATATTCATAGAATCACTTTATGCATGTCCGTTTGTAAACAAAGTACACACCGCACTTATTATCTAAATTTGATGAAATTTGGCACGGCTCACATATTTGGTCCATGTACGAACCCTATTGAAATTTGTGAAAATCGGTTCATATGCAAAATTTCGTTTAAGGGGAACCCTCCATTCCAGGGGTCAAACATGTTGTTGATATAATTCGAATCTACACTAATTAAAGAATGTCCCTGCAAAATTTCAAATGAAAATCACTAATCAAGTGACGGCTGAAGAAACTTTAAACGCGCTTTTCTCAAAACATTTTTTTGCGAATGGCGGGCACGATAACTCAAAAACTAATAACCCAATCGATTTCAAATTTTTACACGTATCTCTGTGGGTGTATAGCTATCGTATGAACTAGGATAAAACCAATCGGTGAAGATCTTCCTTATTTTTAACTTGGGTTTTGGTAAAAAATCGGCGATTTTCCAAAAATATTTTTTCAAAGGTCCACCATTTTGTTAATTTTAGAGCGAAGTCAATAATCCTAGTTCATACGAGAGCCAGACATGTACTCTTTCTAACACCGTTGGAATTTTCGGATTCCAATGTTCCAGTGAGGAGTTATCATGCCCGCCATCAAAAATAAACACTTTTCTTTAATTACAAAAAACAACAACAAAACAATAACAAAAATTGTTTGTAAATTATTTTTCTTCTATTTTAAATCTTCAATCAATTATATATGTATGTGTAAAGTTACAAACCTTAACAAGCATTGGTATTGATTTACCAGCCCATTGAAAATCTTGAAAAAGTAAAATCGAGAATGGGGGGGTTCAAACCAGCACAGGATCTTTGAGCACCATTTACAAAAAATCGGACGAAAACATATATGGAAGCTATATCTAAATCCCGCACGGACATACCCTTAGTCTGTTAGACAGATGGGCGGAGGGATGTACATCCATAAATCCACTCAAAAATTGATGCTATGCTTATTCTCAAAAATAACTATGGGTCTATCTTGTTTCCTTATGTGCCTTAGAAACATATGTACAAATACATAATACCCTGTACCACAGTGTGTGTGGCGAAGGGTATAAAAACGTCAGTTATTTGTCAAGCCATGGACTTTTCAAGCGATTTATTATTTGTGTAGGGCACACCACAGGCTGACCAAATCGACTACACTGCGTTTTTTACATTTAACATAAAAATAGTCGATTTTATTTAATTTCTTCAAACTTTCAAATATGGTGAATTTACTCATATATAAAATTAGTTTATATATGCATTATCAATTGGCAATAAAACTTTAGAATTCCCTCTAATCATTGGTGCACAATTTATAAGAATCGGTTCAGTATTCGCTGAGTTATTTGCATTTGAAGTCAACTATGTTCCCAAATATACTTACTGTTCGGTGCTGGGCGCCCATTACCTGAAAATGAAAAACCTCACAAAAATCCATTTTTAACAACGGCAATTTTTCGTAATGGCTGCTGCTTTGTTAAGAAAATTAAGCATACTTTTAGGTCAAACACAGTATGTATGTAGTCCGATTTTTAAATTGATAGGCGGGTATGTTTGTCAGTTTTCATGCACAAATTTGACATAACACAACAATACATACACACAGTAGCTACTATGAAAAAAAAAACAAAACGTTCAACTCAGCGAATACTGAACCGATTTTTATAAAATTTGCACCAGTGGTTAGAGGAACTTCCAAAATTTTATTACATATATTATGCATGTGAAAATTAGCAATATGTGACATTTTGAAGTTATGTAAAAAATCGGACTACATACCTACTGTGTTTGGCCTAAAAGTATGCTTTAATTTTCTTTACAAGCCATCAAGCCATTACGAAAAATTGCCGTTGTTAAAAATGGATTTTTGTGAGGTTTTTCATTTTCAGGTAATGGGTGCCCAGCACCGAACAGCAAGTATATTTTGGAACATAGTTGACTTCAAATGCAAATAACTCAGCGAATACTGAACCGATTTTTATAAATTTTGCACCAATGGTTAGAGGGAATTCTAAAGTGTTATTTCATGTTGAGAATGCATATATAAACTAATGCTATATATGAGAAAATTAACCATATGTGAAAGTTTGAAGAAATTAAATAAAATCGACTATTTTTTGTGAAATGTAAAAAAACGCATTTGGTCAGCCTGTGCTGTACCCTACATAAATAATATATCGCTTGAAAAGACAATGGCCAGGCAATAACTGACGTTTTTATACAGGATATCATGTATTTGTGCATATGTTTGTACCGCGCAGAAGGAAACAAGATAGGCCCGTAGTTATTTTTGAGAAAAGGCAATCGTATATATGTTCGTCCCTTTCTACCATTAAGACGAAATTTTGACAAGCTTTGATGTTTATTTACGAGTTTTATTTTCTGCGGGAAAAAATAAAACTCCTGAAATTATTTTTATTTTCTAGTGATTTGATATAACTTATAACCGTTACGGTCTCTGAAACATACACAACACGTTGTGTCATTTTTGACAACATATAACTGCAAACCTTTTCAGCAATTTAGATCAGTATGCCATGCCGTTAGTGGTGTTTTAATTAAAACAATGATTTTTTTCTTTATATTTTTTTTATTTTGTACAAATATTGGATGTATTATTATTAAACTATTAATATTTTACTAAATATATGGGGGATGATTTTACAAGAATAATCCAAAAATTGGATTAGTCAGTCAACCGATCTACAGCTAGGCCTAAGGTCTAAATACAGTTGTGTGTAAGGTAGGCTTTTGTAATGGACGCGTTCAACGCAAGCGGACAGATGTGCATCGTCTGGTTTACATTTTTGATGTAAGGGCGGCTAACTGCGCTTTGAGGGCATCGATTTGGCACAATAATTCGATGTTTTGGCGTTCCAGATAAGCGGCACGAATGGCGATCTCGTCTTCCTTGATGCGGCGACGGTCATGGGATTTCTTTGCTGCGGCATAGTTTTTTCGGCGACGTTCATAGTATGCTGCATCTTTGACAATGCCACCCGAGGTTGATACGGAATTTTGGGTATTGACATTGGCGCTAGAATTGGGTGCTGATGCACTGGCAGTTTGGGTCACAGATGACTGACTGTCCGAATTTGAATCACAGTCGCTGGATTCTTCGCACTGCTGGCGTTCTTCGTTCTCGCTGTTGCTACTGGACGAACCTTCATGAATGCTGCCACTGCGTGAACTTGTGCGACGCATTTTTGGATTGGTGACGGTGCGGGATCCACCATTTGAGCTGCGAATTTGCTCGAGCACTCGTTTGCGATATTCAGTGTATCGCTCCACTCGAGGATTGTCCAGCAAAACACCTGTTGCTGCAAAATTAGCCGCAACGGGGGAAAGCTTTGAATGGACGGGTGGTTTTAACATCGTATCAAATTCTTACCGCCTTAAACGACAAATACATTAGAAGTTCTTACCGGGTTAACCTACTTTTTGAGGATTTATTTGACATATATGCAAAGAAATTGACAATTTAAACCCATTGGGTTAACGAAATCCGATTAAATGTAAACGTACTATTATTCTCCAATGCTAAATCCAATCGAAAATGCATTTTCAAAAATAAAAGTATGCGCAAGAGCTGAGCTGTGTGACGTTTCAATGGAACATAACAGCTTACTCGGCAAGATTGTTCTAACTACGTTATGGACATGGTTTCGAAAATCCCACAAGCTGCAAGTCGGGAACCCCTTCATTATGATAAGCAGTTACCTTATCATCTACAATTTATTAAATCAAATATGTATTTCGCATTTAGAACCGTGTATTCAATTCTTGTTCTAAAATATTTATTTATTAAAATGTCAAAAATACCAATTAATTTATTTAGTTTTATGTAGTAAAGATATTAAATAAAATCACACCGAATTAAAGAATATTTATGTTAATTACATAGCCATACACTATATTTGTTTTTTATTTAATTTCATTTAACAAAAAATTTCCTTGGATAAGAATAAAGGTTTCATTTAATTTGAAAAAGTTTTCCAATTGCAAAAAGTTTTTTAAAAAGTTTCTTATTTGTAAAAGGTTTCATGTTTCATTTAATTTGCAAAAGGTTTCATTTAATTTGGAAAAGGTTTTGTTTAATTTGGAAAAGGTTTCATTTAATTTGTCTGTCTATATCTGTAGATGTTCAATTGCAAAGTTCAGGTCGCATTTGTGATCCGAAATGGATGAAATTTGGCACAGCTATTGAACTTGGTACGCTATGCTAAATGCTAAATGTACCTTATTTACACCATTGGCGAACGGACTAAACTCCCAAAAGTAACTATGGGTTTATCTCATTTCACTTGCATGTTGAAAACAGTGGCGTAGTATATAAAAACGTCAGTTATGTGTCAAGTCGTCGACTTTTCATGTGATCTATTTTTTCTGTTGGGGTATAGCAGAGCCTGCCCAAATCGACTATACTGCCATGTTCACATATAGCAAGGAAACATGTTGATGTTTTAAATATCTTTAAACTCTTACATAAAGCTAATTTTCTCTGTATGTATGTAATGTTAGTATGTAATGAAACTTTAAAATTCCCCCTAACCACTAGTGTGTAACTTATGAAAATCGGTTAAGTATTCGCTGAGTTATTTGAGTTTAAAGTCAACGATGTTCCTAAATATACTTACTGTTCGGTGCGGGCGCCTATTACCTGAAAATTACCTATCCCCTTGGACCCTACATGTAAAAATAAAACACTTTTAGGTTTATATTTTGCTGCAAAAATCCAAATTTTATTGATTCCGATTTCTTAAGCGAATCGCAAAAGGAATCCGTTCAAAATATTCTCTTTGAGATCAGTTTTCTTTTTTTTACTTTCTTTCACAGTGCGTGAAACGAGTATTCTTTGCGGATTCATAAAACGAATCCAACAAAAGCAGCTGTAAGAAAAATCTTTATAAAAGATATGTACTGAATAAAAATTATAATATATAACAATACATTTACAATTGCAAATAATAACTATGATAAGGATAAATAAAAGTTGTTGTTGTCGACAATTGAAAAATAAAAAAAAAAACAAAACAAAAGTAGCATACAAACAAAAGCTATAATCGTAAATGGTATGTAGGAAAATGATGCAATTGAAAATAATCTAATTAAGGCACGATCTCAAGATGTCAAAAAATACATTATTGGTTATTAGATCGCTGATATGTAAAAAGGACTTTCTTGGCTTAAGGGTTGAAGTTTTCGAGAGGAGATTTGTTTCTACTTAAAGATTAGGGAGATTGTTAAACTGATTTTTTTATCCCCTCACACGGGGACTTCCCAAGAATGTTCTTAAAAATCAATTTTTAAAATTAAATCATAAATTTGTAAGTGTCTGTGTGAGTGTAAATGCAAATATCACAATCATTTTCTTCTTGTTATAATTAAATTAATTTCTTAGTTTTTTGTTTTTTTTTTTTTTTTGTCTATCTTTTAGATCTAAAATGTATGTTTGTGTGTTCTTTTTGTACAGTAGTAGTATTAACGATTTTAAAATGTGAAAAATTAAAATTTAAAATAAAAATCACAGTTCATTTATCAAGTTACTTTCATTTGGTTTCAAGAAGAAGTTGTTAAGTTTCGATATAATAAGGTGTAAGAGAAGTTTGTTGTTTTTATTTATTATTAATAATTTTTGTTTTTGTTATTCTTTATATAATCATTATGTAACATGTCTATTTACTACAAATATGTATATATATAATTATTTTCATTCTTTAATCGCAACAATTAATGTCTTTCCTTTAATTTATTTCAATAAGCAAATTACTAAAACTGGCATTATAAAGCGCATGTTGTGTCTTCAAGCATCCTATCCATATTATTAGTAAGCTGGACTCATTAAAATAGAATAGATCAATATTTAAATTAAACGGTACTATTAAATTTCAAATGATATAAGTGTTATTATTACATAAATTTTTATTATTTTTACATAAATCTGAGAATAGGTTTCACAAGATGGACACATGTTAAATGTTCTTCTTCTATAGTTTTCTAGCGTTTAAGTACACTGCGGGTCATAAAAAAATTTTCAACATGAATCATTGTTACATTTAGAAAACTTGTTGTCATATTTAAATGTTATTCATCATCGAGCTGATTTAGAAATACTACTTAAACCAAATACAAATACAGTTAAATTTTGTTTTGAAATCTTACATTCGACTTTTATGTGTGTTTTCATCATTTCAGTTTTAGAATTTTTCAATTTAATTTTTTTTAATTTTCTTAATTTTATTAAATATATGTATAATAATTATTAGTTTACAATGGATAATTTTTTAAGAGTAAAAAAAGAAAACAAAGTCATAGAATTTTGTTGGGTTTGTATTAATGCGTGTGTTTGTTTAAAGCAATCACTTTAATTGTTTTTGTTTTTTTCTGTTTCGCTTACATACTAAAGGAGATGAATGTGTTGAATGAATCCTTAATGCTAATAATAAAATGGTTGGTTAATTTAACTTATCGGCTACAACTTATACCTAAAACATATTCTAACGTAATGGCTTAAAATATGAAAAAACTTACAATTGCTAAATTGAAGAAAACAAATTAAAATCGAAAATAATATATCAAATAATAAAAAGTGATAATAATGTTGGTTTGCCTTTATTTGGTGATAAAATTTGCAACTGATTTGGAAAAATGTAAAACAACAATTTATGTGAAAGAAACATAACGCATTGCTATTTCAATAGCAACAACTATATACTCTACTCTATACTCTATAGGGCAAAGGTTGCGGTATTGTTTTCTAACGACAATAGAACAATAATAAATGATCTTTTATACTTAATTAAATAGAAAATATTCAAATGTCAAGTAAACAGAGCCTTTTAAATAAAGGAAATATTTTTGTTTTTTTTTTTCTCCCTCTTTCACGGTTGTCAAGGTTTTAATATGGTCAAGACTATTGTAGAATTTGTCAAATTTGCTGAAAACATTTACAATAGGATTGTTTCAAAAGTTCTTAAAAATCAAAACAAAAAACACATTCTCATGTAAAAATTAAAAAAAAAAATAAAAAAACAAGAATTTTTAAAATAAATTCATTAAAAAAAAAACATTACATATATCCTTATGTATCAAATATATATTAAGATTACAATTATGAGAGTATGCGTAAATCATGAATGCAGTTACCTACACTACATATAACACAAAAGAATAATGGTTCGAATAATTGTTTCATAATTGTGAAGATGCTTTTGAGTTTAAGTGGCTTAAAGCCATTTAAAATAGCGGCAAGCTAGACGTTATATCGCAAGTGTCAATTCAAAACATGCTCTTCGAAAAATATATGTCCGGATCGGCCTATAGTCTAAACGAGAAACCTTCAGGCTTTAACAAACGAAATAAATTATATGTTTTAAAGATAATTTCATTTGCATTCATACATCTTTCAAGTTAGCATTCATTCATTATATAAAATACAATATATATGGTTTGTGAAAACGGAGTCTGCTTAAATAACGGGTTATAGTGACAGTTTTTTTTTTTTTGTGTATAAATTATTTGCGCAACTAGCTTATTTACTTAATTGAAGGACTATTGTATGGGCAACTATTTTTCATTTAAACGTTGCTTGCAGTTTTAGATTGATATTTATCATTGCAAACATGTAAATATATCTATATATATTCTGTTGCGTCAAACCTTTTGGGGTGAAAGAATGTGAAATTATTATTAGCTCTTATGAGCTAAGACATAAACGGATAACTTGTTGAGAAAATAAGTAAGGTATTTTAAAATTAACACTTAGTCATGCTTTAAAATGATTCTTTGTGGCTTGCGTTTCGAATCTGTACTGGAACCACCGACGCCTCCATGCGCGGGTGATTGTTGCCTACTTCCACTGCTATTGTGATTGCGTACATCCAAACGATCAAGTATGACTCTGCGTGAGTTGCCATTACCATTTCCCGATATATTAGCCCCTGCTCTGTTTCCTATAGACGATGACGTGGAGTTAGACGATGTTTTTAAAACTATTCTGCGGTTGGAGGAACTTAAGCTTTGCTTGGAAACTCCGCCACCGCTACCATTGCCGCCACGTGCTTGCACATTCCTTCTGGACAATGCTTTCCCAACCGGTTCAGGAGATGGAGTATGTGAGATGTCTCTTTTTTTGGCCAATGTATCTCTGGGCGGCGAGGTTTCCGGCTCCGAAGCCAACAAATCGTCTTCGTCAAGCAAAAGGTCATCCTCATCGTAATCCAATTGCACTTCATCTTCACAACGTGAAGATAAACGTCTTGGCGGTTGATGGTGATTTTGTGGTTGAGGCCTGATCGCTGCTACGGTTGCCTGCGAAGCCGATGACGATGTCTCTTTAATGAAGACTGGTTTTATGACAGCCGTATTTGCGTGGCTACTTGAGTGATCTCTAACAGAACCCGATGGTGTATTGTTTGTTAAATGGTCTGTCAGGGTTTTCTTGGCCTCGGGCAATATTTTTGCCGTCGGAATGGATTTTCTCTGTGTATTCGCGTGTTCATCAAAAGAGTCGGTTTGCGTTTGTGGGCGCTTTTTTAAAGAGATTATTTTACGTTCTGGCACCACTTCTTTAAATTTTTGCGGTGGTTGTTGTTGTTGCTGCATTTGTGTCTGTGATTGTTTTTGTGATTGATCGTCCTTGGGCGGATGGGAAGCGCTGACACGTTTTTCCTATGAAATTGTTGAGAATTTATTGTAAAAAGGTATGCATAGGATCTCAACGCAATATCTTATCCCTAACAAGTATGAAAGCAACGTTTACAGAAATTGTTATTTATTCCCGTGAACTAGGTACTTCGCAAGAAAAAAAATGAAATGTATCTTACTGACAGCATAATTTTGCTAGATTCGGTAGAGTTGTAAGCATTCGATTAATTTATAGATAGAATTAATTTTGTAAACATTATCGTCAATAATCCTTCTAAAGGGGGGGCCAATAACTGTATTCTTATCAAGCAACCGTATTTCATTAGAACTTTGTATACCGCTCAATAAAACACTCACCTCATATTGCTTCTCTTCAGCAGCACGGCGACGCTTCATTTCTTTGTCGCGCATTATTTGTTCTCGCAACGCCTTCTGTTTTTCAATTTGCAGACGATAGGCACGCGTCTCTTCATCCTCGTCAACCTATAATGTGAAAATAAAACACACATGTATTAGACTCTTTAAAAAAACTATGAAAGCATCAATTCACATATCGGCGTTATTAACTCACCTCCGGTTTATCGCGATCATTATTATACCGTCCTCTGTTATTGCCAAAGTTGCCACCCCTATTACCAGGAGAAGGAGACTTACTACGACGACGTTTCCCATAATTTCCTCCACCACTTCCTTGATAATCACGATCTCGGCTGTTGCCGCGTCTGAACCGATTACCTCCGCCAGCTTGCCTATTATATGCAGGACCTGGACGGTTGCGATCTCTTTCTCGATCATCTCTATCACGACTTCCAGCGCGACCTAAACGTATATTGCCGTCATTGTTTCCGGGACGTTCACGCTCTCTTTCCCGTTCTCGTTCCCGGTCACGATCCCGCTCACGATCAAAGCGATCATTACGATTGTTGTTTGGACCTCCATTCGTTTGACGTTTTGGCGGTGAATAGCTACGTTCACGGGATATACTGCGAGATCTAGTCCTTGAACGACTTCGTGGCGATCGGGAACGCGAACGTCGAGTAGGAGAAACTTCTCTGGCATGTCGTCGTTTTTCAATGTGCTCGCGATTTTTATTAATAAATTCTTCTTGCTGGCGTAACAACTCTTCGTCGCTCTGTACACGCGGTGCTTGTCCACCGGCATTTATACCCATATATTGAGTTTCTTGTATGAATTTACTTGTAGCAGCCTCAACCCCGCCTTTGAAGTTGGGATTTATAAGAACCTTACGTGGAGCTATCGCTGATGCTGGGGCAGGCTGGACCGAAATTTGATTTATAGACTGCTGATTGTTTGCTACTGCTGCCGATTGGTTAGATACTGGTGGAGGCTGTGGCCCTGGTACAGTTTGTGGCCGTATTTGCAAAGGAGAATTCATAAAATTAACTTGTCCAGGCATAGCATGAGGCGGTAATGCTTGTAATGGTGGTCTTTGCATTCGCATTCCCGGTCTCATACCCGGTGGTACATTACCCATTGGACCTTCAGGTCGAAACATGTTCCTTGGTGCGCCGTAGGGATGGTTAAAGGGCGCAGGACCTTGATTAGGATTGAAGTCGTTTGGGCCTTGAGCATACAAACCACCGGGATTTGGATGCCTAAATCCCCCCATTGGTCCCGGTCGAAAGCCAAATGGATGACGAGGTCGCTGATGAGGATTATTGTGATCTATATTGGGAGCTAGGGGGCCATGAGTGGGATTGTGCATTGTATTGGAAGGGGTTGGTGGACCAAAGGGATTTGGGTTGGTTTGTTGTGGGGGTAAAAATGTTTGACCTGTAATAAGAGGATTTGCGGTAGCGTGTGTTAATGTGACCGTTGCCAAGTTGCTTAAGGGCGAAAAATGTGCTGGAGACAACAAGGATATATTACCATGATGGGGAAATCGCAGGGGAGGGCGGGGGAATAGGGGAGAGGGACCTCGTATAGGATGACCTCGAATCAGCGGGGCACCATTGCGCTTCTGGTGAAGAACAAAGCGATTCTGGGACTTTTCTAAATAAAAATAATTGAATATTAAAATGGAAAAGTACAAATCACAAGTATTTCTCCCCAGTTACGCACCTGGCGATTGTTCATGTGTTTGTTCAAATGTTTCTCTTTCATTTGTTGTCTTAATATTAGTGCGTTCTTCGCGTTCTTCTTCGAAATCTTCACGGGGATCCGATATATCGCCATGACTCATTGTAACACTAGCACTCTCTTGGGAACTAGGTATGGCCGATGAAGCGCACGAGTCGTTTACCATACCACCACTTCCTGTGGAATTTGACACAGTTGATGATTGCTCGATGTCCAAGTCCTTGTTCGAGCTCGACGACACCTCTGTCGATAGTAAAGCATCATTTTGGGTAGTCGTGGACGGTACATCCTCGCTGCTTTGAGTTGTGATTTCTTCTTTTATTTCGTTTCCTTGGATTAGCGTTGTATCCCCTTCGTGTGGATTAGGACCTACTTGTATCTTAATTGCAACACTTTCCTGCTCTTTGGAAGATCCTTTTGAATTAGACCCTGTAGCGTCATTGGTATCAACAACTGCTGGTACGTTTGTTTTCTTGTTCTTATCTTTTATTTGCGATTTGACCCACTCTTCGGCTTCAGATTTTATTTTTTGTTTTTCCTCCTTCGATACGTCCTTTTCTAGATCTAGAAAGAACAGTTGTTCGTTGCAATGTCTATACATGGGAGTAGGTTTGGGGTGGTGGGCGGTGGTAAACACAACGCCACTCACACTCCAACCAGCCTACTTACCTTCATCTGAAAGCAGAAGTTCGTCCTCGTCGGCACCAATTAAAACTTGATCATCTATAACATCCCCAATATCATAATTTAGTAGGTCATCACTGCAAAAGAACCGAAAGAAATCGAAAAACCATTAAAATCGTATGTTTCTATGTAGCTTGATCTATGGAAAAATCCATTGACACGCAGAAAAACTTTGTATGCACAGTATTTTTTCACAATTTTCATGGCAGATTGGTGGAACATCATCACATGAAAAATTCTATTACTTTGCAATAGTTCGTAAAATTTGGCATATCGGCAACATTGTTATCGTGATTCTAATAGAATTTGAATTATTTTGCCAAATAAATTATAAGAATTAAATTATTTTACACTCACTTTAAGTCAGACATTTTGATAATGCTGTCAACAAAGACGTCTATACGCTAATCAGTTTGACATTTTATGCGCTTCGATTAATCGACAATCGGTATAATCGACTAACCGAAGATTGGCAACTCATCACTGAGCACAAAGTCCATTACAGTACGTTTACATCGCACCGGATTTCGTTAAGCCAGTGGGTTTCAATTGTCAATTCCAATGTATACATGTCAAATAAATCCTCATAGATGGTCTGTTCCCGTACTGCAAGAATCTACTACTTTTTACTACGATAACGAAATTTCCTTTATGATATCGAAGAAAATAGTAAAATCGAGTAGATTCTTGCAGTACGGAAACAGACAAAGAGTAGGTTAACCCGGTAAAAAGTTCTAATGTAAGTCCGTTTTAAAAGGACTTCTTTGAAGCAATTGTTATCGGCTATTTTGGTTAAAAATCCCCACACTGTCAATTTTTTGTTTACGTTCTCATACATTTAATTCAAAATGGAATGTATTTTGACAGTTCGGGTTAAATCATCTGATCTATCGTTCGACTTTATAATTGGGGCATGAATGAGTACTTCAAAATACATCAGCAATCGATTACATCAAGCAACTCATGATCCAATAAATCGTTATCGGCCATTTTTTTTCGATTTCACACGATTAAGTCAAAATTCAAAGCATTTTGACAGCTCGGGTGAAATAATCTGGCTTTATCGGACGAACTTATTATAGGACAACGAAGCAACTGTTGTAAACCATGATATGTCAACAATATTGATAAAACAGATTCAAACATGATTTACTCCAATTCATTTGCAATATATTAATACGTTTAGTACGTGTGCAATACAACAATCAGAATTTTTCATTTGTTTTTTGACTGTTTTTTTTTAGTTTTCATTTACAACAGAATTATTGACAGTTAAATATACAATCAGCTGTGCTGTTGTCGCTAACTTATTAAATCTACCATACAATAGAGTATACAATAAAATAAAAATGGAAAGACAACATAGAAAGAAAGAGACCAACTCACAACAAAAGAGATAAATAGAGTTTATTTATCAAGTCGACTTGTATGTCCCTATTAAATTTTGATTCAGTATAACAAAGAAAGTCGGGGAAACAAGTCGTTCTCAAAGTCAAGTGGTATCTACGTTTAAACTAATTTCTGATCGAAATAAAGCAAAAAATAACAAAATGAAGTTCATGTATAAAGAGGAACATGTTTTCGAGAAGCGTCGTGCCGAAGGAGACAAAATTCGCAGAAAATATCCCGACCGTGTACCTGTAAGTAATCATAAGTAGCTGGAATCTAAAGGCAGTTTAATTTAATTTCCCCGAAGGAAGGAAGAAATCGTACAAATTCATTGCAGGAGGTCGAATGCCACAGGAAAAGCATTAAAAATCCTACAATTTCTTGAATATTTAATGATATTCTAACAAATTGCGTCATAAAAATAATGAAATTAACAATTGGATACATCTTTGTTTTTATACAAGTTTTTTTCTTTCTTTGCACGAAAGAGAGGTGTATACCTAAGTTGAAAAGAGATAGCTTGGCCAAATATCATCTGTTTGTGTATGCTTTGCATTCTCTTGTTTTTGTTTTCATTTTTCGTGTGTGTTTTTTGGTCATTGTCTAAAATCGTTTCTACGGGGGTGGGTGATGGGTGACGGGTTGGCAGCTGTTTGTATGTTTTTTGGAAGGGAAGTCGGTGGGGGTGAATTACGTTGTTGTTTATAAGTTTTAAATGTTGCCCTATTCTACCTTGTAGACAACTTTTTTGGACAATAGAAAATAGTTTCAGGAAACGGTGGGGAATAGGGGTAGGAGTATGGTTTCACTTGGTTGGATTACTAAGTCTTGCGTTGGTTTTTATGGGGTCACCAAGTGCATTACGAAGTTAATATTTTGTAGCAATCTTAGGGGAGGAACATGCATTAGTCATAGCAGAATTGACTGATTAAATTGCTACTTATGAAGTATAGCATTCTATTATTATTGTTGTTCATAATGTTTTGTTTGCAGCTGTTTTTCTTTTTTGTACTTTGTTTTCAAACAAAGGAAGATACTATGCAAAACAAAATATTGTCTAGATGTATTTTCGCTGGGAACCACCACAACTAATAATTGCCATTGACCATTTCCATTTCTGTATATGCGCAAAAGCAAAATAGAATATACGTATAAAAAAAGAACAAAACAAAAACAACTGCGTAAACAAACAGTCCATTTAGAGTATAAACATAAACTGTCTATAATCTAGAATGTTAAATAATTCAAATTGTACGCTGTTATTAGAATATTAACTCTTTGCCAAATGTCAATGATTTAACGCTTAGATGTCCTCTAACCAATACATATAAACGAAAGTGTGTGTTCGTAAAACTAATGTAAATGACAATAATGCCTGTACTCGGTTTTGTCTTAAATATATTATCGTCTTGTCAAAATATAGCATTTGAAATAGTGGACCGAGAAAGTATTTAGGGAACACCCTTGATTTGAGTTCAAACGTGTTTGTATTACGTTGCCAGTTTAGAACTTCAAAAATGAAATACTTTAAGAATACCATTCGCAACTAATTACAAACATAAAGTGCATAGTCTTTGTTTATAAATAGCTAGCATTCTTATTGTTATATTTTTCAATTTCGCTTTACGCTGATGTGCACATCGCGTCACCACAACAACAATATCAATTTCATGACTTTGCGAAAATAAATTGTTCGAAACGTGATATATAGAAGAACGCGAAGGGGGAGGGGAGGAACAATTTACGTTTCTATTCTATAAACATTACAAAATTAGTCTTTGCAATATATTTACAAAGAAGGTTGAAATCACGTACGATTTATTATAGTAACACTTTAAATGCCTATATTCATGATTTATTTTATTTTTTTTCGTTACAGGTAATTGTAGAAAAGGCACCCAAAGCAAGAATTGGTGACTTGGACAAGAAAAAGTATTTAGTACCCTCAGATTTGACTGTTGGACAATTCTATTTTTTGATCCGCAAACGTATCCAATTGCGGCCTGAAGATGCCCTCTTCTTCTTTGTTAACAATGTAATTCCACCAACATCTGCCACAATGGGTTCCTTGTATCAGGTTTGTTTTACCATAGTCAACATATTCACTCATATATACATATATATATTTTTTTTTATTTTTAGGAACATCATGAAGAAGATTATTTCCTTTACATTGCCTATTCCGATGAAAATGTTTATGGTGGCAGACGCTAAACGCAGCATTTTAGCTTTTGCTCTAGAGTGTGATTGAAAACTAAATTACAAATAAAACAAGTTAAAATTAAGCACGTATATATGGAAAATCGTTGTACGGAATCTTGGCGATATAAACGACTAGAGGAGGAACGCTATATAAAATGAAGACATATTTGTAACCAAAATAATATTGATCTTTTAAACAAATTCAAAAACGAATTCGTCGTATCTAATCTAAAAAAAACACCTAGTTATAGTATTAGTTATAATTCATTACTGTTTTTTCTTTCAAAATTTCTATTAGATGCACATTTCTTTCGAAAAATTGATATATTAAATCGATGTTATTGGTGGGGTCATTTCTTAGGTTTCCTTTCTAATAGTCTGGTTACGTTTCAGTTTTCTTGAAGGCTGTCCCAGCCTCTGTCAGAAATGTGCATAATATGTATTTTTACAAATCATAAGTATATATTTTTAAATTACTCAAATAAAAGCTTAGGATATCCTAAAACACAAATTGTTATCTTTCTTATTTACAAGTGACATCAACCATTGGAAACCAACTCTTACTCGGTCAACGTCTGCCACTTCAACCCAATGTGTAAAATCAATAGGGCTGCTACAACAACAAAATCAGAGGCATATATATGTTTTTTGCCTTATCTCCCATTCAGTATCAACGTATCACGGAATATTTATTAAATCAGAATAAAATTGGTGGTATTAGCATATCCTCATCCCGTAAATAAGTCATGGCTGAAAACACCAAATATCCAACATTCTTTTGGCAATGTCACGTATTGTTTTATTTCTGAATGGATTTTGTGCCGCCCTATGTTGGTGATGATGTTGTGCCTCACGAAGTAATGAATGGCTCAAAAACGTATTCTACATTTGTTGCAAATCAAACAAGCCACCCAAAAATCAATACATGAAAAAAAAATTCTAGCAAAGGATATAATCGACGAAGTCGATACTCATTTGGAAACCAAATTAAATGCTTTGGGTCATCGTGTGGACCAGTCCACAGACAACTTTCAGAATTTATGAAAATTCAGATTGTCAGCATGTTAATCTAAATATGTAAGCTCAAGAATTACAAAATCCAGTAATAACAACCGATAAAAATATTGAACAGGCATTTGTTAAAGCCTACGATGATATGCGATCGGTTAGTGGTGACGTTTGAAAAAGTTGGCGAACAAGTTGCAGAGCAAGAAAAAGAACTGGAAGCACTTCGAAAGAAATTTTAAACGGAAGAACCGGATGAGAATGAATGATTTCAGTTTTTTTTATTCTTTAAATAATAAATGTGTGTTGATCGAATCGTCATAATTATTTTTTTTTTAATTTAATTCTTTAATAAAACTCAATTTTAAATATAAAAATAGCAAGTATATTTGGATATTTAGAATTACTATTATGTGTGGGTAAAACGAAACAATGGGCGTAAGGAAAATAAAAAAATATATACAAAACAGAATCAAAATATATACACAAAGGTCCAGAAAAACGCATTGAATACTAGAAAAGACATTGGGAATAACACACGGGCTTTAGCATCGATCCATTGCGATATCTGCTGGGGCGTAAGAGTGGTCCAGCCATGTTTATTTTCCTCATTATTACAATTGCTGCTGTTGCCATCCTCCAAAAGGGCCACATCCATTTTCTGGCTGTTTGGGGCATTGGTGAAAGAGGTCACCTTTGACACATTATCCATTTCGGTTTCATTTTCATTAATGGTAGTAATTGGAAAATTGTGCACCGTCAAGTAGTTATTGAATTTCGGAGCCCCCGTTAAGGAAATGCTATCGGTGCCCAATGTACCAGTTGAAAACGAACGTGAGCGTGCTTTACGGCGTGAAAGTCGCGGGGATAGTGTCGATTTTAAGATGTGTCTACTGCTCATGGATTTAACATCTACATTTTGTTTGCGCCTCCAAATTGAGTTGACAAAAGCGAATTCCAATAAGCTGCCAAAAATGAATAGGGTACACCCCAAAAACCATACCTCCGATACTTTAATGTAACTCACCTTGGGCAGTGTTTTGCCTATGTGATCAAAAAATTGTATAAATTATTCAGATGAGGCATAAATAATTATTAAAGTTGTTTCTTGTACAAACCTTGAGCTGATGCCAGTGTTATAAATGTCAACATTGTAGATGTTCCAAGCATTATTCGCGGGGGAGCCTGGTCGGCCTGCAGCCAAAATGAGACCCACGATATTCCCACAATTAACATAGATGGCAAAAAGTAATCCATAATGTAAAAACCAACTTCCCTAGTAAAATGGACTGTGAATCCTAGCGAGCTGTAATTACCAGCAAAGGCTCCATGGCGTAGATCGTTTAAATCCGCATTAATGACTGTTTCGTTACTCCAAGCCTGCTGAAGAATATATTCGGTCAGATGCAGATCAGGATCAAATGTGATCGGTCGCTTTTGTTCCCAGTGTAATATCAACTCCGATGTGTTGTACATCCAACTTTCCAAATAGGTTGAGCAATGCTGCTCGTCAAAGGGGAACTTCTGCAAATTCATCCAACAATACAAGGTAGCTTTTATACGACTGGAAATGATTACAGTTCCATCGGGGGAAATCGAGGTTAGAATGTCTTTCTCATTGGTGCCCATTATGCTGGAATCCCTTTCATTGGCAAGAAATATATGTGGTACCCATAAGTTATCACGTAGCGGCTTCTCGCCGAGTATGGGTTGCTTTCGCTTGGGGGCGACTTTGCGAAAGGTCAAACGGGGATCAAGAAAGCGAAGTTGCAGAAGAGCATGAATTTTGAACTGCAAGTCATGGGCTTCTAAATTCTGCATAAAATAGACATACCATCGAACGTAAACGTCCACAGGTAGACGGTTACCCGATTCCGAATAAGTAATGGGCCTTTCCAGGCGATCGTAACGGCAACCATGTGTTAGCCTCTCAAGTAACTGTGTTTGGGACAAACTGTCAGCATCAGCGAGTGAAGGGCACTCTATTTCGGCACATTTCACATAACAAATAAAAACAAGCAATAGGATTACTTTTTTCATACTGAAACACAAGAAAACGACACCAACAATCTGAAGCAAGTGCCACGACGCAGACTGACCACACGATAACACGAAATGTCTATCCAACACAACCTAACACCTAGTTGAAAACTAACGGTTAATGTATAAGACCGAGGACATATTCGATATGTTGGCAGTATGGGAGCCAGAATCGTTTCAATTCCACGCATTACTCTTATTACTCTTATATATGTGTACTTTGTACAACATTTTGTGCCTAAAAATCTTCCGCCCGCCATAGAATAAACAATGTCATCTGTAAATGCATACACATATCACTTTTATTTCGAATGAAACGAACTCGCATATTATTTAATGCAGTAATATAACAATTCAAAGCTACAGTTCCCCTCCCCTGTCACCTTTGGCATTCTTTTTTGACTTTCGTTTTTCACCAGCATTTTGTAGGGTTTCCTTCAAACATTTTTTATCGTTTTCTTGTAGGACTTGTTCGGCACACAAATGATCTATTAGACCCTTTTGGTCTTGTTCATGGAAATACCATTCGTAGATGGTGTCCTCATATTGCTCCAGCATATCCTCGCACTGGCTCTTCATGTGTGTAACCTCTACAGGAGGTTTGTCCCACAACTCCTGAGGAATTCCCAAGTCCACCTTTACTCCTTTATCCACCAGGCCATGCAATGTTTTGAATGTTTCAGACATGCCTTTGGCGAAACGAGTGCTATCGCTGCGTTCCTTGTGTAAATTGTACTCTAATATCCTATCACACACATTTTCTAATGACTCCAGCAATCGCAGTTCACTCCGACGATATTCCGTACGCTTTTTGGGTTTGACATCATCTACGGAATAACTATCCCCAAACTATTAACAAACCACACCAACGGCTACTGGATGCAAGATCTTACCCTGTTTCAATGACATCATGAGATTTTCCAGTTTCTGAAAGACGTTCTTGCAGTTCTGTCGCGAGAATTTTGCATGTCTCGCATTTACTGGCAAACCGAACTCCCTGTTCCTCTTCAGGGCTTGTTGCCAGAGCGTACGTTACTAACAATAAACCTAAGCTAAATTTAAACATTTCGTTCGAAAACCAATTGTAAACAAAACGCTGCTACACCGTAGACCTAGGAAACAGCTCTCCGTGGGAACAAATTGAACAATTCCAGAATTCATAGCAAGTGCCTTGATATTGCCAGATTGACGAAACACAACTAAACAAAAAAGATCAGGGCTATAGAAGTCGATATACATACACTGGGACATATTAGGTTGTAGGAAAAGAAATCCATTATTTTTATATGAACTATAGGACTTTATTTAAGATGGAATTAACTTAAAGAAATCCATTATTTTTATATGAACTATAGGACTTTATTTATCATGTTTCGTAACGTCCGATTTGGGCCAAATAAGCTCCGTTTGATTTGTTTGCCATTTTAAAGGCACTTCTCGATAATTTCTCCGACCGGCCTACTTGTGCAAGATGCACCTTTAACATCAAAAATTCCTGAACGGAATCTACGAAACCAAAATTGGTCATTATTGGCTGTTACAGTATCGGAACCATAAACACCATTCACAATTTTAGCCGCTTGACTTGCATTTTCGCCTTTGTCAATGAAAGACTTAAAATGTACCGAATTTTCTTTGTACACTTCCATTTTTAACACCAAACAAAAAACAGAAATTTTTGTTTAATGCGAAATGTCACCCTTCCAACGAACTGAAATTGTTTGCTCTATACTTTACGAGAAATCTATTAGTACAGCCATCTGCCGAAAAAATAATGGATAATGGAGTAATTAAGGCCTTATGCGGGACAGAATATACAATTTGGTACTAGATTCTTGACATTGGAAATTTTAGCAGGTGTGGGAAACATTTTTTTTTTAATTTTATGGCTGCAGCGAGGAATGCGAAAAACATTCTACTTCACTTTAGAATAATTGACAATAAAGTCTTAAGTTTAGGCAACGTCTGTTGCTAGTTATCGGCGTAAGAGAAAGATTTCTACAACAAAAATTGTGCAATGCATTGTTAAAAATGATTTTGTAATATGTATATGTATATACATATGTACATAAATGTCATATTGCTAATGACTTTGCAAAATTTTCAAAATTGTCAGAAATAAAAACATATTTTGATAATGTTATCAGTGGTAATCGCCGTCTGCCTGAATATTACTTTTATCTATCACTCTTATCCTTTTCGAATCGATCTTACTTTTAGATACACAATCTAAGGATGGAGTCAGAAGCATATATGTATGTATTATCTTCTATTTTTTAAAATGTCTTGCGATTGTTATGGATAAGACCATCCCCAATGCAGAGATGATGATGCTGGTACGATCATAGTTCGCCACACACATACAAAATACATACAACTACGAAGAACCACTGACAACTGATGAATTAATAGCGCTGATATAAATGTCTGACAAACAGAGATTAAATCCATACAGAGTATCGGCTTAAACAACGAACAATAATGTTGTCTCTAATCAATTGGAAATCAGACGCTTTAAAATACGGACGTAATACAAGTGTTCGTACGTAATCGCCAACTGAAGTTAAACAAATTTCAGTAATCGTCAAAGCTATCATCAAAACAATGTGAAAGTCCATCGCAAATAAAAAAACAGTTTAAAAGTTAATTCGAAACTTTACAATAGTTACAATATAACACACAAAAGAAACAGAACAAAATGGAGGTATATACGTCGGACAGCAGCGATACGGATTCTCGTGAACAAAAGACTTTGGACTACAGCCGCATGAATCTGCAGGAAATAAGCCTTGAAGACGATCTTTATTCCGAAACCAAGCAACGTCTTAAATCCCAAAAGGACATAGAAATTCTTCTGCTTAACCATAATCGGCTAAGATATTTGCCGGCTACTATAAAAACCTTTATAAATTTGCGAACATTGGATTTAAGCCAGAATTGTTTAACGGAATTGCCTGAAGCCATCGCCCAGCTGCCGTTTTTGGTGACATTAGTGGCAAAGAACAACCAACTGACAAATCATTCCTTGCCAAAAACCTTCAACACATTCAAAAACCAACCGAGTCCATTGAAGGAGCTGAATTTGAGCGGAAATTTTCTCACTCACTTCCCAGAACAAGTTATCGAGTTGAAGCAACTGAAGTACCTATACATTGGTGGCAATCAAATAACAACCATAAGCAAGGATATATGGAAAATGCAAAGGTTTGTCTCAACACACCGTACCAATATGAAATGGTGAAATTTATTTTATTGGCGTAAAATCCCACATTTAATGTGTACGCATGTATGTGTTGTGCCTCCACACATATGCACACATTTAAAACGAGTAATAATAAATACAATTGATAATCTTTCCATTACGGGTCATCAATACTATGAAAAGTCTCCAAATTCTCCGAAATATTTTTATTGATACTGATTGAATATTGTTTAGTAAGAAATATTGTTTGTTTCTTTGTCTTTGCGTTTTGCAAACTGTTCTCCATTGTTATTTTTAAATTTCGCGTGTTTCCAAGTGTAATGGGACATTTGCTCCATTGAAAATATATTTACAAACTACCATGATGATATTGGAAAATATTCCAACCTAGTTAACAACTTAAAGTAGTAATATACCTATATATATATATATATATATTTGTATCTTTATTTTCAGCCTTCAAGTTCTCTCGATGGGTGGAAACCTCATTACAGAAGTTCCCGAATCGGTCGGTCTGCTAAGCCAACTTCAGGCTTTAGTTCTCTGTGATAACCTTATTGAGAATCTGCCCACAAGCATTGCCCGTCTAAAAATGCTCAAATCACTGTTGCTACACAAGAACCGATTGAAACATTTACCCAGGGATATTGTAGCTTTAAAAAACTTGGCAGAAGTATATATATATATATATATATATACACGGCTTATTAATCAAATACACCAATACCCTTTGTTTTTTTTTCATTTCTAGCTAAGCTTGCGTGACAATCCATTGGTAGTTCGTTTTGTCCAAGATATGGCTTTAAATCCTCCCACATTGATGGAATTGGCAGCACGAATTGTTAAAACGACTGGTATAGAAATACAACCGGGAGATGTACCTCAAACTACTTTAGAATATTTAAAGTCTGCAAATTGTTGTGTGAATCCCAATTGTAAGGGTGTATTCTTTGATAATCGTGTGGAACATATAAAATTTGTGGATTTCTGTGGCAAATATCGTGTTCCGTTGCTGCAATATCTATGCTCTTCAAAATGTATAGAACACGAGGAAGAACCAAGACGACAGTCCAGCAGTAATGCAAGTGGATACATGTTGCGAAAAGTCTTACTGGGTTAAGCGGGCAAAAATAAAATGCTATATGTTTAAAACTGAGATAATAAATATGTATATGTATGTATATAGCCGCACACTTTAGGCTACAAAAGTCCTTTTATTTCAAGAAAATATCTATTTCTGAATGATTAATATGCTAATAATCTATTGGTACTAGCTTCTTTAGTTGGAATTTTTGGTTTCAGATTTTCCAGTGATGCAAAGGTATACCAAATCTTATAGAAAATGAAATGAGAAATGTCGCAATTTAATATTGTTCCACAAAGTTGTGAAGATCGATATAACTACCCTTATGGGTTCGTTCTTTATTTTTCTAATTTTTCTAGATCCATTAGAAGCCCTCAAATTTTTATAATACGCATTGTTCGCTCTGTATATTTGTTATTAGAATGCCTCAGATTTGGAATAACTTACCTTATGACTTGCGAATTTTTTAGCACTCTAATAACGGTTTTCGTCTGATATTGATAATTTCACGCACTTGCATTTGAGAATTTTCGAGCGCCCCTGCTTTAATTGAACATAACAGCCACATTTGCCAATCGAACAAAGCAATTTTATTGAAAAACTAACAAATTCGTTTGCGAATGTGGGAAATATTTAAATATGTTGCTTATGTTTATATATCCAGAATAAAAAAATTTAAAACCATTTAATACCTATGTTCTCTTATAGAGCGTATTTCTAAAACTACATCCATATCTCAACGTTACACACCAATTCTGGAATCCAGCTCTATATAGCAAAGTTGGTAAGCGTTATTACCTTTTGTACTATTGCTTTCCTAATTCGAGCACCGTAACTACTTAGTTATGCCGCTACTTATATAGCAAACATTATTTATATGAATTTATGAAAGAAGGAAAAATAACATAATAAAAAGTTGTAAATGATAATAAAATTCAGCCATAGCCCAAAAATAAAATAAATAATACCCTGTACCACAGGGTGGTGAAGGGTATATCCAATATAAATCTTATTTCCCAATTTCAGGATTCCAGCCCTATCGGTTCACCCAACATCTAATTGTACTAAATTTATTACCATAAGTGCGAATATCCAAAACTTCCACATACCCCAACCCTACACTCCAACAGTAATCTTAATTCCAAATTTCTGGATTCCAGCTCTATCGGTTCACCTAAATACAAATTGTATCCCATTTAGAACCATTGAATAACCATAAGTATAAATTTCCAAAACTACATTGAAACCCCAATCCTGCACTCCAACAGTAATCTTAATTCCAAATTTCTGGATTCCAGCTCTATCGGTTCACCTAAATACAAATTGTATCCCATTTAGAACCATTGAATAACCATAAGTATAAATTTCCAAAACTACATTGAAACCCCAATCCTGCACTCCAACAGTAATCTTATTTCCAAATTTCAGTGTTTCAGCTCGATCGGTTCACCCAAATCAAAATCGTACTAAATATAGAACAATTTAGTACTTTTCGTAAACATAAATAAAAATTCCAAAAGTAGACATGCCAATCTCACACTCCGACGTTTATTTTATTCCAAATTCGTATTGTACATAATTTAGTACTATTTAGTACATGATGAAACACCGTCATAAATGTGCTGAAACAGATGTTTTTTGTTTTGATTATTTTTTGTTATTTGTATTTATGTATTTACACTTTACTGACTATCGAATGTTGTTAAAAGTTACAGAATAGGTCTATCAAATTTATCGTTATTAATATCCTCCTTATTTTTCAAGTAAATTTGATTCCAAACTAGCTGGTTAATAATAAGTAGGACTACTCCCAGTGATTACAACTTTCGTTGTGAACCAAAAGGCAACCATGCAATTTACATAACCTACATACTTGGACCTGGTGCTCGCTGCTTATCGTATTTGATAGTTATAAAAATTCATTTTGTATTTGTTTATTGTGTTTATTGTTAGTTTTGTGTATAGACTAGTTTCTAGTGTCATTGTATGTACGTATGTTTTTTTTATTTGCTACTTTTAGTTCGCTAGTAGACAGTTGTGAACGACGTTCAATCTTATCTATTTGGTTGAGAACTTCCCAAACACTCCAACACTTGATCTATTCGTACCTGATTTGCATATAAGTTTGTGTCTTCGTATGTCACCATTGAAAACGTTCTTAAGAAAGACAAAATAAATAAGAAAGTTGTGATTTAGTCCCAGTAAATTTGTGCTAAATTAAATGTCGCCTAGTCCAAAGTGTATTTATACTTGGCAAATTGTTAAATCAATCTACAGAACAAGCGCATCACTAAACAGGCACTGTTCGACGTTGACTAGCTGTAAAATACCACCACAAAACTTGAGTCATACACGAAGGAACTCGAGCTATTTCCACAAGTATGTATATATATGTACATGCACAAATATGTTAACAACATGATTAGAATGTACTAAAAAACTTTTAAAGGTATCAGAATATAATGGATGCTCCGCCAGAAGTGTTTAAGGGTCAGTTGGATCGCTTTAATGGCGTCACCATAGACTCCAGCAAAGAGTTCGCCAGTGAAGAAATTTTTCCGGAAAAGCTGGAAAGTATGTGAGTTATTACAATACGATTACATTTGGTTAGATCTTTTCAAATTACAGAGTCTTTGCAATATTGGAAGGAACAAAAACGCCGGGCAATTTGGTTTAGTGTGAAAACCGAGCACTCTTCTTGGGTGCCCCATCTAACAAAGGTATGTTGGTAATTTCCTATAGATTTGAATACTTTCGCAGATCCAAATTCCGACAGATATACTTATTATTAATATATATGCAACAAGTTATTGAGTTTGTTTACAATTTTTACTAAAAATAATTCCACCATTGTACACAAAAATAAAAACCATTTTTATTGTAGGCTGGTTTTGAATTCCATCATGCCAAACACGGAGTTGTGGTGCTATATCGATGGCTACCTGAGGAAGAATACGAAAACATACCCGTCTACGCACACACAATGTTGGGTGTCGGAGGTCTTGTTGTCAACGAAAACAACGAAGTCCTGGTTGTGTGCGAACGTTTTTCATTAATACCAAATAGCTGGAAATTACCCGGAGGGTATGCCGAGCCCCATGAAAACATAATTGATGCCGCTATAAGAGAAGTGCGGGAGGAAACTGGCATTGAATGTGAATTTAATACTGTAATAAGTTTGCGGCATTCTCATGGTGGTATATTTGGTTGTTCCGACATCTACTGTGTGGTCGCTCTGTCCCCGAAGTCATCAGACCTGCGTCGCTGCGAACGGGAAATAGCTAAATTAGAATGGATGCCAATTTCAGAATATTTGGAACACCCAAATGTTCATGAAACGAACAGACATTTTGTGCGATGTTATCTTGATTATAAGGATCGTGGAATTCGTTTCACATGCGAGATGGGAAAACATCAAGTATTGAAAAAAGAATATTGTCTCTATTACATGAAACCCTTACATAAAGATCAAGAAGCTTTGACTCAGCCGAAGACGTCATAACATTTAGTAGAACCATTTTCATAGTCAGGGAATTTACAAGAAAAAAAAATAAACTGAACGATAATATTACTTGTTGTATATATATTATAATGTTAGAATATATATAATAAAAGTGCAATGATTCTAATCTTACTTCCGTATATGTTTTATATTGTATTCAATTTGTATAATTCGAAATTATTATTATTTTTTTTTTTGCAAATTGGGTCATTTAAGTACGGTGAATGGAAGCGGAAGGATACAATTATAAATAGCTTGGCGAATATTACGTCAATTTTCTGGGAATACGTGCGTGTCTACCCCTAGTGCCTAAACTAAATGTGTTCCGTGTTTGCGCGTAGCGTCGTTGTCTGTACAGGTTTTGTACTTTTCAGCCTTCCCCATTATTATGACGAACAATAACAGTCCAAACTTCTTTTCATGTTTGTAAACAAATCCAAATATTTGTAAACATAAAGGCTGTGAAGAGGCATACCCACACTCTGTCCATGTTTGTTGACAACTATTTTAATAAACGGTTCTCGGTTCTCTGAGATACCTGCGTAGTGAGAAGAAGCTATTTTGTCGAGAGAGTAACTATTGGAACAACGTAAAGCCGGCACTTACACAATATCCTTGGATAAAGAAATTCCCCTTATCAACAAAGAGATGCTGCGTATATCTATCATTGTTGTCAGATACGAGAACAAAGTTAATGAGCCAATAATATATACTGACAGAGTTCAGCTCAGTTCACATACACATCCCGCAGCAGTTGGTATATAAAGGAAAGTCTTATGTATCATATGAATAGTTTGGAAATCAAAGCAATGTAGGAAGAATTCCATAAAGGAATTTAAAAAATTTATATGTGGTATATATGTATTAAGCTAATGTTTTACTGAATAACATAATCTGTAGTAAAATATAGTACAGAAACTTTTGACAAAAATACCCTAATACATACATATATGTATTAATTTTTCAATAAATATTAAGTTTTTCATTAAAACATTATCGAAATGGACTCATCATATCAAGACTTAAGTGAATTGGAAAAATCCGTAAGTATTTCTATTGTCGTTAAATTTGACATTTTCACTTGACCTATATAAGTAGAAGTGTAGTAGTTACACCCAATAATGCCATTGACACCACCAATCCTATTTGTGAAGATACAAACAAAGTACGCGAAGATGCAACTAGCAATTTAAATGCATATATAAGGGAACCGAGAATCAAATGTATGTGTTTTTTTTTAATTTTAATAATTTCAGGTGGCCCATGCCGGTTCGCAATTGAATTGCATGGCACATAAATTACATGAAGTGGAACAACGCTGCTTAGATTGCAATAGTTTGGAGGAAATTGATGACACATGTGTATTGGAATTATTGGAGTCAATGTCAGAGGTACATCAGTTTTATCAATTTTATAAAAGGTAGAATAAGCTGAAAACCTCCGTTTTTTTTCTATACTTTGCAGGTACGCAATGAATACATTAATCTCCGCAAGGACATCCAAGAGGTGCAACAACTACAGCGTGACGTCACAACATCAATACGTTTTCAAATGCGACAAATGCATTTAACATATCAGGTGTTAAAGAAGCGCTTGGAAATAAAAAGAACACGAAAGTAGATTTGCTGGTGAAATGGAGAAATTTATTAAAGAGACCTCTTTTCCTATTACACTATTTATTGCACTGAAATCAACCCGAATAATGAACTTTTGTGGTATAGTCGTGTTGTGCCAGTCTATGGAAATGGACAAAACTGGGAAAAATGTATAACAACATATTTTAACGCCACTGGGAAACATTTTGTAAATGTTACCTGATTTGCTAGATCTGTTATTTTATATTAAAACAAATTAAGCAATGCCTTAACAAATAAATAAGACGTCTTGGGTTAGGACATTTCACAGCAAACACAAGACTTGGAGATGTCTCCAAAAGTATATGTTATCTGGTTGTGTTTTTGTTTTTATTAATATTTTACTGACCTATGCCAGTAGATACTTCTAAGTTGCCCTATTTTAAATATTACTGCAACACTTGTACTATTGCACTCTGCAATAACCTTGTATAAATGTTAAAATATTTCGTTTATTATAGAAACAATTTTATAATCGAGTCATATATTCTAAATTATTGTAAGAAATCAAATACAATAGTTGTAAGCCTACAGATGTATACCTTGACTTCTATAAGCACAGTTCGTAAACCAATGTTTCGTTCGTAGGATGTAGAATTGTCAATGAATTTTGTATGTATTTCTAAACATTTATAATCTATTGTTTGTTTTGGGCACCACACTGTGAAATAAATCCAAGTATGTATGCCTCGAATTAATGTATTTTACTGAATGAGATATGCATGTGAAAATGCTACACTCATGTGATGTGGTTTGTTAGACACGTGGCCCAAATAAACGGCTGTAAATAATGCACATTTCAATCTTTTAACGTTTGCAGATGTCCTGCTGCTGCACGGCTTTTGTATGCGAGTGTGTTTTAAGACACATTTGAAAGATCCAGCTGCTGTGAGTAGACATCAGGTACATAATAACACAATAGATTAGTGTCAAACACGTTCAACGATGGCAAACCGTTTCAAAGTATAGCTAAGTATAAAATGAAATTTAATTCGCGGACAATTTTTGAAATTCAACTTGGATTCGCAGCTACTTCTTCAAGCCAAGTTATTTATTTCTTATGATTTGGTTATACCCCGAATATACTATCAATGCTTATCAATGACGGATGCGGTTGATCACTTCAGGATTTTCTATAGCAAACCATACATCACCAGCCACAAAATTATATAAAAATATCGTTCTATTTATGTCGTTTTATTAAAAAAGAAAACTAAATTACTGTACACAAGAAATTCATTTTAGCTTTTTTATATGACAAAATCTTCAATTTTTTCATATTACCAAATGTCTATCCATTGTACTTAGATGTGTTATTTTTACTATGTTTACATATTTATTTTCAGCTAAGGATATAACATTGTAAAATAAATTAATGAAAAATAGTCTTTAAGGTTCTGGTAGAAAAATATTCATTATTATCTCAAAGAGAACGTAGGAAATAAGTTCGTTTTTTATCAACAAGAAAACAAAAAGAAATAATGAATTGGTATATGTGTATGTATGTATTTGGGCGAAGAATGTGTTTGTTTCACACTAAAATGCGTTTGTCTTACAGTTTAGTGTTTTGGCCAGATATGGATATTTTAAACGCATTTTAATCGCGAAACTAACAGCCATTCTTACTGCACGATATAGGTTTAGTGTGCATTTCGCATCTGTTGGAACAATAACGTATAAAATATGTCCCCCAAATTATATACACATCGGGACATTGACGTGGATGCATTTTATTGTCTCTCATTGGATAATAATCTATATCGTGCATGTGGGGGCGTTTCGCGTCATTCTGATAATCCTATAATGTTTTAGATAACGACATTAGTTTCGAAATCAAAAGTATACAGTATGATAATGAGCGAATTGGGTGAGTGAATTATCTCAGTTTCGCGTTTAACGATTTGACATTGAGGCATTTAGGGTACCTCTTCTATGGATATTATTACAATAGCGTCATATAAAGTATATGCTAATAGTCTATTATGTACGACATATTGGATGGTCGATAGCTGATCTGGTTGTCCTCGTCCTCGTCGGAAGAACACAAGTCAATCGTGTCGACGATAATTTCTGCCGATGGACACGAAGATATCTTCCAGTTTGAGCTACGGCAGTTGTCTCGTGTTAGTTTGATATTCAGTTTGGTGCTCGGATTATTTTGCCGACTCTCGTTAATCTTTTTCAAGCGCACCGATATAGGTTTGCATCGTCTCAGTAGATTTGAGTTGAAGAGTAATACGTTTTCGGTTCGACGCTTCTGGGAGAATTGACGACGAGGGAAAATGTATAAGTGAGTGCTGTAATCTTGTGGTTTCTTGAAGCTACAATGTGGCGTGGATGTCGACTGTTTTTTCTCCAAAAACTTGGGCCGGGTCGCCAATTTTGACAACAACGGTGCCTGGCAGAATCGTTCAATTCGATCTAGGCGTTCGCTGAGATATTCAGGTGTAATGGAAGTTTTGGTTGAACGTAATAAAAGCTGACCTGCAGGCGAAGAAAGAGGAATTGTGGGACAACGCCATACGGAATGCACAGCTCGACTTCGTCTCGAAATTCGTTTCTTTTTATCTACAATCTTGAATCGGCTATCTACCTTTAGATTTTCTGTGGGCATTCCATTGCATGCCGCTTCAGGCTCGTTAGGTGTCTGTATGGGCTGAACTGTTTTTTTGCTTGTTCGGCATTGCAGGTTAAAGTTTAGTAAAAAGCCAATACGCTGTTCGTTGTCCTCCAGGGTATTGCTATCTTGTGGCTCGGGCTCTGGAGTGTCACACAGTATGACGTCATCATCGTCTTCCACACTGCAAGTCTTCTCGTGGACCAAGATTGCTTCCTTAGAATACAGTTCCGCATCACAATTATCACAAAGATATATGTCGAAGGGGGCAGGTTCTACCATCTGTTGCAGCGAGTTTAATGTGGCATGACCGTTTTTGGACTTTTGCTGAAGTAGACACTTTCGTAGCCTCTGTGGTTGGTCATACGACATATTTTCGTTGCGAAACGTAACCAGTAACTTGTTACTCCTGCGATCGAACAGCGACGTCGTCGAGTTGTAATTGTTGATGAATCGAAGGCTTGCATGTTCATACGAGGACAAGTCGTTGCAGAATCTTAGGAGGAAAACACTTTTGTGGAACTGATAACATATCAGAACTACCTCTTTCAGCTTTCCAACCCAATTGCCGTGAAATGTCTTCGGCTTACGCAAAGGAATGCAAAATGGCAAGTCTTCGGGCCACCATTCTGGTTCGCTGCACTCAACTTGACCTTGCAAGTTGATATGGCCCAAGGAACATTGTACCATAAACGGTATAAACTTTTCTAACTGAGACTCTGATATTTTGTCTAAAGACGTCGGATAGCCATTTGCAAAGAGCAGTGGTAGGTTCGATATCATGTTGTTCTGTTGGATTTCTTCTCGCTCGTCCATTGGTCGGCTTTATGTTATGTTTTTGATTGCAACAATACAAATGTTGGTTGTTTCAGAGTATCACGTTATTGTATAGCAAAAACACGTCGAATGTATACACAGCCGGTAATAGTCAGATTCTGAAAAGAAATTAGTCGTCAGATTAACAACATCATCATCAGATTATCAAAGTACAAATTAATGCTGGCGTTATTTTTGTTACTTTAACTGGTGATACTAAAACCTCAATTATTTCCATATATTTGAGTTTTCCCCGTATTCTCTTGACGAAGCAATAGACTGAATATTTATATTTATTGGTTATTACAGAGGTCCTGCATTATGGAAGGCCCGGCCCTTCATTATCATTCCCAATTCTTCCTTTTTATTTTTGGGATGTTAAATATATTCATCGAAAACATGATCCAAATGTGCTCAAGAAATGGATTATGTACTACTTTTCACAACTTATGGCTATAATAAAAATGAACGGCAGTCGTCCCTGTAAGCCCAACTTATTGTAGTCATACCTATAATAATGTGCAAATATCTAAGTGTTTTTCCACTGATGATGCAGCCTGTCTGCCCGCCTGCGTTTCCCTCTTATCTACTAAGCGTAATTTCTGGTGATTGTAAAAATCCGCCAAATCCTGGATGTTGTAGTTTACAATAGGGCATGACTCTAAAATAAAATAATTTACATTTAGTTTCTGCTCCATTACGATGTATTGTAGGGAACTAAATGTACATGAACAGCGAACTCTGCAGGATGGGTAGTGTCAATTTAGCTAATCAATGGAGGGCTTACGGTACAAAATCAGCAGAAAATTAAAAAAATATTCCGACAAACATATTTTTATTTATACTAAATTCCCAAAAGCAATAAGTAATTTTTTTATTTGTGGGCCGATTATATTTAGCAACTGAAATCGGTGGACGATAACTATGCAATCGTATAGGGAGCGATTTTTTCTTCAAATTGCATAGGTATGCACAAACCACTACGTTAGCGTTCGTTCGTTCCGGAACGAACTAGTTCATATGAGCTATTCCGATATGGGAACGATTGGAACTGGTTTAAATTCTGCAAGAATCTATCTAGATCCGCTCGAAGCAAACCCCCACACGCGTTCTCTATTTGAGAGTAATTTGTGTGAAGAAAAACGTAAAAACGGTTATCTGCCTGTGTCTGATCTAGTTCCTCTATTTTATCTTCCGACCCTTTTCGTTCCTTTTATCGAATGGAACTAGTTCTTTATCAGGGCAGATTTTATATGGTCGAGGTATCAGCATAAAACGGCATGAACATTATAACATTTTGTATGGTTAACGTCCTCTATAACGATTTATTTGACAGTGGAATTGACAATTGTAACTAAATCCATATACATTAGATCTTTTTACCCCGATAGCCGTTATGAGGATTTACTTGACACATATCCAATGGAATTGATTATTTAAATCGACTGTTTTAACGAAATCTAGAAAAAAGTAAATGTGTATTATGTAAATGTACTATAACTCCTGGTACAAATGGCTATCTAAAATGTCGTAATCATGTTATTGTTTTTATTTGACACGTTAAATTTGTTAAAACAAAATATGTATTTTTATTTAATACAAAAGGCCAATATGAGAAAAATGTTAAATCAGTCCGTGATCTAGATGAACTAAAAAGCTGGGTCTAGTTCCGATCGTTCCTTTCGCGGAATAGACCGTACTGCCTGATTCGTTCCGAAACGATATAACATCAAAAATCACCCTTTTGATTGATTCGCCAAAAGTCGACTTACTTATTCCTAATCTGGGAACACTCAGTCGCTCTCGGCTGCAAGTTAAGTTCGTTTCTCTGGGTGGTGAAATATTTTTTGCGATATTTTTTTTCTGTTGTTTGAGGAAGCTGAAATTTGCCAATTTTTGTTATCCTAAAATTGGTATTTTCGACATTTTAGCGTTCTTATAAATCTACAAGAGAAACAATTGAACAGATTGCAGCAACAACAACTCTAGGAGCGTCAAATACAAAAGGGCAGGCGACTAAAACGGGGAAAAAATTTTGTCGACTGTGTCTCTATACCTAAACCGGGCATTTTTTGCTAGACACCAAGCTTCGAAAAACACTTGTATTTAAATTTCTTTATTATCAATTATGGTCACTATGGAAAATGCCGAAGAAGTCATGCAAATACTGGACAGGTTCACACGACTCAAACAAAAGGAAATACCAAAGGAATTGGATGAGTATTTGGGCTATGTGGCCAAAACCGGTGACACGGTTTTCAAGTGGACGTCATTAAAATATTTGTTCCGAGAAAAGCTATTGAATGTGATTAAAAATTTTCATGATTCTACGCCGCGAATTGATGGTGAGTTTTCATTCATTTAATTTTTTTTTGTATGTAATCGTATATAACTTTTCTCGTCGAACTTTTATATCGCAAAGTACGACGATGACTCCTTTGATGGCAAAATTTAGTTCATAGCTTTCACTTTGTTCATCGCTTACAAAATTGGGCGTTGTAAATAACCAGGCTGAGACAACGTTCATCGGCATCGCTAGCTTGCAAATAATTTTTCTAACTGTTTTTTTTATAGTCATTTATTTACCTTTAATTATTCATAAGAGACTTGAGGTGTTTGGTCTTTATGTCAGTGTAATCTCATTCAGCTTTTATATCGCAAAGTACGACGATGACTCCTTTGATGGCAAAATTTAGTTCATAGCTTTCACTTTGTTCATCGCTTACAAAATTGGGCGTTGTAAATAACCAGGCTGAGACAACGTTCATCGGCATCGCTAGCTTGCAAATAATTTTTCTAACTGTTTTTTTTATAGTCATTTATTTACCTTTAATTATTCATAAGAGACTTGAGGTGTTTGGTCTTTATGTCAGTGTAATCTCATTCAGTTAATTTAAACTCCAAAACATCTAAAAGAAACGAAGACGAACTGGAGGTATGGTTAGTTTTAGTTTAATTGCTAGCCTTTTTGGCTGTTTGTTGTCTCAAATCATTTACTATCATATTTGTCCAGTTCGCAATAGCCACACACACAACAACTAAGTATGAATGTGTGTTTGCGCGTTAATTTCGCTGGAATTTGTCTTAATGGCATTTAGTTGTTTTCTTCTTTAGTCAATATACGCTTAGCACATTTTCAAACAATATCTTCTATATATTTGTTAATGGTATTTTCGACAGAAATTCCCCAGTATCCCAACGTTGACCCTTTCAATTATGAGAGCATGAAGTCTTCCCTACTGGAGCGTTTGGAGCGATTCAATGCAGCTCCATTCACCATACAACGTCTATGCGAGCTGTTGATCGATCCAAGGAAACAATATAGCCGCATTGACAAGTATATGCGTGCTCTGGAGAAAAACATTCTTGGTAAGTGTTGCCAATTTTTACACATAAACCAGCATCTGGAAGCTTGGCATTCAAATGTGATCTTTGCCAATCGATGCATTTCAAAGCATTTTTGGTTTATGCTACATGTGTCGGTATTTCTGTATTCATTGAATTTTTCTAGTAGTCAGCACCGTCGAGCCAGGACGCAAGAGAACTGAATCAGAAAATGGCGATTCTTTGGACTCTGTCGTTAATGGAGATCTGTCGCTGGATGTTAACGTAGACATTGAGATGGAATCTGAAGGACTGTTCAATAATTCGGAGAGTACGAATGGCAATGGCAACGCAACAAAAGCTGAAGTTGAAGCAGCAAAAGAGGATGCTAAGACAGAAGAAACCGAAAAAGCTGTCACCAAGAATACTCATGCTAATGACGATGATAATTTGCCTAATCCAAAGAAAGCAAAACTGGACTTACCCGAAGATTCCAAAGTCGAGGCGGAAGAATCGAAGAAGACGGACGAATCTGTCGCAAACGATAGTGCAGAAAAGACCAAAATGGAGAGCGACGAAGACGAGAAAGTTACTGATCAGGAAAAAACAATACATATTGAATCTGAAAACGAATCCCAGAAGTCAGCAGCAGAAAGGACAGAGGAAAATACTGGAGTTCTGAAGGACCATGAATTGAAACAGGAACAAGAGGGCGACACTGTCAAAGATGAAACGGACGTTGACCAGAAAAATGATGATGTATGCTCCAAATGCGATGAGAAGGACGAAACAGAAAATACTTCAGAAAAAGAAAAACAAATTGCCGAAACAAAGGAAACATCACCACCGTCAGAAGAAAGCAAAACATCACAACCCGAATGTAACAAATCTTCTAACGAAGTTGTCAATAAAGATGTTTCCGTTGAAGAGACTGATAAGAGCAGTTCTGGCGCCGTCAAAACAGTGGACGCAAATCTTGGGGGAAATAAGGAAAATCTTAAAGAAGAAACTGGAACAGTAGTTGAAAAACAAGAAATTGAAATCGGAGAGAAGGATCAAGCTAAACAATATGATTCATCACCAGAAAAGGTGGAAAAAGTAGATGATCCGTCTAAAGAGAGCGAACAGGTCGAACAGAAGTCAAACGATGAGGCGATTAAAGAATCTGATGATGCTGTGATAGAAACAGCTATTGAAGCAAAAGAGAAAGAAAATACAACAACTGAAGCAACTTCAAAGGAAGTGGGTTCTGAAAAGCAGACAGAGTCGTGTGACAAAGATAATACTGTCTCAGACGAACACAAGACTGAAAATATAAAGACTGACATCTCCGACAAAGTCACTGAGAAACAAGATATTGATTCCGCTTCCAGTGCTAACACCAATACTGAAGCAGAAGTCGAGAAAAAGGAGGCTGCTACTGCTGAAATAAACATAACAGCTTCTGCATCACCAGAGATTGTTCCCACCACTGAAGAGAAACCAGAAGCGGCTGTAACAGAAACAAAACTGGAAAATACAACAACACCAACACTTGCCCTGAACGATCAGCCCATGGAAGATGCTGCCATAGACGAAGAGTCTCCATCGGTTGATGAAGTAGTAATGGACGAAGCTCCAGTACCAGAAAGTTCTTCGACAGCTGCCATGGCTACAGAAGACGAACCACCATCCACTGCTCCAGTTAAACCCGAGGAAGAATCTTCTGGTATGGAAGTTGACGACACAAGCCAGGAAGCAATGGACCAGTAATTACTTCCACTCCAACTACCAACATTCACATTTCATAAATTATATTAAAATAGACTAAAATCGCTATAAGCACTAAATAAAAAACAAAAGAAGACAGTAATGATAAAATTGGCAACCTAGAATTGGGAAGACAATTTTCTAAGATTTTTCTTTAAATTTATTATTTGTTTTACTCAATTTACATCGACCTATAAGACCATGGACAACATTTATATAAAATTACAATAAAAGTTCCGCTTTTTTTCCTAAAGAACTATCAACACTCAGATTTAATTTTACCTATTTATTTTGTGTTTATTCATACAATAACTTCAAAAATAATATAATCTAGAGGTTTATAATGCTTCAAATAAATACACACAATCCATATACGTACTAAAACCCAACAAATATTTCTTATTTTCATGGTGGATTTTCCAAGGAAAGTGGAATGACATTTTGCTACAATATCTCATGAAATATATGAGAATAGTTGGAAATTGCTGCTGCAATTAAAAAATGAGGAGGAAAGTATGCATTAAATTAATGCAAGCATGCATGTCGATATACTTCCAAAAAATACGAATATCTCTTAGGCTTTCTTTGTATTGATATTATAAATAAAATAAAAATATATAAGATATTCGTTGTTTAACCCTTTCAGACTCAAAGACATTAATATTTGTCTGATGGATATGTAGAAAAATTAAGACGGATCCCAGTTTATTTTTACTTTCTGTGTTATATTTTCTAAAGGGATAACAAAGCAATACTAAACCAATAAAAATCATTTTTACATACTCTGTTTTATATTTTAAGCCGGGTAAAGGGTTAACAAATATATAAATATGCATCTTATTTCCATATATCATCCAATTCTGCGTCAATTTTGGCCTGCATCAGTTGATCATATAAACACACTTCGCGTTTACACTGTGAACCCAATTGTCATAAAATAAAGATTCGAATTATTTTCATTTTGCATAGTTGTGCATTATCACATTACATTGTACACAGTATAATTTATTTTATATGATAAATAAACAATTTTAAATATAAACTAAAAAGGATCTTAGATTAGGCATCTCGTGCATATACACATGCTCATTAGAGCTGCATTTGGGAATCGTTTGATGTTACTTTCATTTAACCTTAACAAAACAAATGATAAACAGAAAAAAAACATAAATACATAATTCTACAACATAAAAACAGTAACTGTTAAACATAATTAAAATTAGGCTAATATAATATTAAGGAGGGAAAGCAAGGCCCAGCTCCAGGCTAGGACATTTCATTTTATAATAATAATATATAGGTGTTTTACTTTTCCTTTGAACCCATTTATTTCATTGGACATCTGAGCAGGATTAATAGATACCTAATCAATGGGAGCATCGTTCTCCTGTTTAAATCCCAGCTCTCTCTAATGCCGACAATTGTTGTCCCAGTCGCTCCTCTTTTGCTTTGCGCTCCGAGCTAACCTTTTTAGAGTGTGTGTAGTTCTGCAAAAATGTCTGTACATCGATTTTGCTGTTTAAGAATTGTTCCACATGCCTCTCGCATTCGCTGTCTGCATTTGAAGCCGCGATCTGCAAGAGCTCTCTGATGTGCTGAGGATTATATTCCTCAGTCTTTTTCAAATACTTTTTATTCAGTTCATCGCATTTTTCACCCAAATGCTTTAATGTTGTCACATCATCGCTTAATTTGCGCTTCAGCTCGACGAGGTGTGTTTCCTTGGTCTCGTTTTCTTTGGAAATGTTTTCGACTTGATTTATCATGGAGTCTAGCTCTTCGTTCAGTTGCTGAACAACAGACATTTCCTCGATAAAATCGTCGAAAAATTCCGGATCATTATCTAGTTGTTTCAGTTCATCTAACGAAAGCGTTGACAGATTTGGGAAACTTGTTTCATTGATCCGTGGTGATGTCAATTTGATGGGATCATGTGGCGATGTTTCTTTGCTGCTGTTGGCACTATTGGAAGCACCGCTGCTAGTCCCGCTGTCTAGAGATTTGGCCATTTGCAGGGGAGGGTAATGATGAGCGCGTGAAACATTTACTTGCGCTGAATTGGCATTACTGGTTGGATTGGGACTTTGTGATTTTATAACTTGTGGAGGAAAGCGTTCAAATTCGCGGATGATTGCCTGGACTACACGTCCTAAATCGGAATGTGGCGAATACTAAAGAAAAACAAAAGGTTCATGTAATCACACTGGTATATTTGCTGGAATAATGTAATGTGCATTGCTCATGGGATTAAAAATATCCTGTGAAATAAAATGACAACATTTAATAATTCGCCTTTCACCAACAAGTTTAAGGTCATTGATAACGTCACTGTGTTCAGTTTCCTTGAACCTTTGGTCATCAAGGATTTTCCTTGTGCAATTTTAGAATTTGCAAAAACGATGACAGGAAGCAGCATAAATGTCCTTCGAGGGTAAGGCGAATCAAAGGCAAATACCATCTATTTACTTACATTTACTAAACCTGGCGCTGATTCAATTTCTCCTGTAGTTGGATTGACCCAGTGGTGCTGAATAATGGGCGAAATGATCAGTTTCGGACGTTCGTTAGGGAAATGCAAGCCCAACAGAACAGTCAGCATAAAATTGCGACCACCCGACTCAAAGTGAACACAAAATTCCGTCAGCTCCGAAACCTCAACGACACTGCAAAGCAATATTTAAAATTATTGTTTTACAAAGCATTGCGCAAAAAAGCCAAACTTACTTGTCGTTAAATATTTTCAGGGTATCAATTTGACGACGAATTTGATGAAGACGATGTTGAAATGCACTCATTTTTGTACAAACAAATAATAAACAACTGGAGTTGTGCCGCTCACAGTTCACGAACGAACGAACTAGTTCATATCAATGATTCCCCCATTAAGAAATTTATTCGAAATTAGGGATACGTAAATTGACTTTCAAACGACTTTTTGTATTGAAACGTCTTGAAGATGGCGTCGGCTTTTGGTCATAATGACAATCGCAAAGTCGACATATTAAGTTCGACTTTCTTTCTAAATGACTATTTGTAATTGTCGTGAAAGGGTATTCGTCTCCTCTCTATTCCAATAATATTATTTTCTTCCAAACATTGTAACAAAACGTTCCGTTACGTTCCCACTAACTACACCACACCATTCGTTAATTTCATTTCGATTGAATGTCGAGTTCTACATCCCTAGGAACAGCTGCATATTGTTTACATTCATTCGGTTCCATTGGTTTTTATATAATAAAGAGTTAAAAATTCTAATTCTGCCGTGAACATGTCCTTATTTCAAATGAAATGGCTCAGACGTCTGGTGAGGCAGAACACAAAACCCATACCAGAATTGGAGGCAGCGTTGTGGAAGCGTCGACTCAGCGTGGTGTATGCCCTCCTGGCCTGGAATGCTTTTGGATTCGTCTGCTATATGGCGTTCAGCGGAAAGAGCGATTGGGCCCACTACCATGGCTTGAAAAGTGACGAAGAGAAGAAGGAATCGCAGGCAGTTCAGTTTAGCAAGCGGCTGAATGTTGAAAAAGGCAAAATTATACGATACTCTGGTTTTAAGAAGGTGGAAGAGTTGGAATTCGACAATACAAAAGATAAATAAGCCCTAGCAGTAAATCGGTGTAGTTTTATTTCTCTTAATCAGTCAATTGTTTTGCTTGTTAATAAATGCAACATTCAATCGTTCTGTTTACAATGGAATCCTGATTGCATTGTGCTATCGTGCTAAATCACCCATTGCGAAGAACCCAAACAAAGTACAAGAAACAGATGTTTTGTTTTGCGTTACGAACTAACTCGGACGTGTCTTATGTTGACACGTTACAATACGTATAATTTTTAATTCGGTTATTTTGGACTTCAATCAAAAATATGCCAAAATATGCCAAGGTCCTTTATTGGGCCATGGTTTATACAAACAAACCAGGTATATATAGTGGCCAATAATTCTCGATAATTTAATAACATGTGAAGTGATGTTGAAAACGAGCAAATAACTCATATCCCTTAATAGAAATTGTCTACAGTGCAAAAATATCCGTTTCTTTTACAATACGTTTCTCCGTTACATTACACACTAACTCTGAGAAACGCGCGTTTTTGCGATCTGTCAAACATTGTTTGTTGTGTACACACAATTGTTTTATATTTATTTTATTTACTTGGCGTTAAAAAGAAATTGAAGGAATGGATAAATGTTACCTCTGCAAATCGGAGAAAGTAAACGATATACAATATGGAGAATTCCTCAGAAATTCACAAATGGGCTTTGGGGTCCATACATTCTGTCTGGTAAAGTTGGGATTTTTGCAAAATCTATGTTCCGGAATTTGACTAAATTGTGCCAAAATTTTTTGGTTGTAACTTTTAGTATTTATCCTCGAATCTGACACAAAATGGAGACGATGACGAAGGCTATCTTGGATTTTTGAAGGCCGATATTAAAAATGAGGAGATACGGATCTCACGTTTGGTAAGTTGGAATATGGCAAAATTATGTTTGAGAGATGATATACTATGCATTGTTTGTTCAGACGTGCTGCTATTGCCGGAAAAAATACGCAAACATCGGCTGCTGTGAAAAAAAATGCCACCGTACTTTTCATTTCATCTGTGGCTTGGAAAATGGGGCTGAAAACCAGTTCTGTCAATCCTTTCGATCGTATTGTCACACACATAGGCGCAAGGGACCAAAATTGCCAGGGACGGATACAACATGCACTATTTGTTATGACAAACTGTTCGAGTCCAATGACCCCACGGCGAAATGGTCAATCGTTAAGAGTCCCTGCTGCCGTAATGGTTGGTTCCATAAACTGTGTCTGCAGAGATTTGCCAAAAATGCTGGATATTTCTTCAAGTGTCCTCTGTGCAACGATGCAAAGATATTTCGACAGAAATTGCCAGCCCAAGGAATTTTTATTCCAAATCAGTAAGTAATTACAAGTCGGTGGTATGTGTTGTGTTTTATATTATGCTTGAATTTGCCTGTGTAGGGACGCCGCTTGGGAATTGGAACCAAATGCATATGTCGAACTTCTGGAACGCCCCAATGAGTGTACTGCCAAAGAGTGCCAAAACAGGAATGGACGCACCTATTCGTCCACTGCGAATCCACTGATATTATGCGCTACATGTGGTTCAACCGCAATCCATAAACAGTGCTTACCACATTCGAACCGCGGTCGTTTTCATTGTGCAGATTGCACCATAGCTTTCCAGCAACATGACGGAGATGACGAAAATGCATTAGTGCATGATGAAGAAGCCGAAGAAATTGATGTTTGTCATGTTAGTGATAACGAAGATTTGAATATAGTAGAACAGTTGCTTGGCGACGTTGATAACAATAAAGGAAATGCACAAATGGAGAATAGGGATGATGAAGACTCTACTGATGAAGATGGTGAGATAAGCATTCCCCATCGACGCAGGACCCGAATTCTAAGTAGTGATTCCGACAGCAGTGATATGCCGCCAACAATAAAAATGAACTCTGATTATGAAGCTGGCCAAGCCGTAGGAAACAAATTGGATAAATGTTTCTTGTGTAAATCTTCGAAAAGAGACGAAATTCAGTATGGTGAATTTTTGCAGAACGAAGAAATGGAAATGGGCGTTCATATGTTTTGTTTGGTATGTTATTTATTCTTGCAGCTTGCACTGGGTAGTAATTGTGATGATTTGTTTTTAGTATTTATCATCAAATCTGACACAAAATGGAAAAGATGAAGAAGGTTTCCTAGGATTTTTAAAAGGTGACATAAAAAAAGAAGAGCTTCGCATTTCACATCTGGTAAGTAGAAAAGTTCTGGTTTTTATTATTCTTTTAAAACATATTGAATACATAATAAACTACAAACGTTGTTCCAGAAATGCTGCTATTGTCGGAAGCAATATGCAAATATTGGTTGTTGTGAAACAAAATGCCGCCGATCGTTCCATCTAATCTGTGGCATTGAGCACAATGCAGAAAATCAATTTTGTAATTCATTCAAGTCGTTCTGTTTCAATCATAGACGAAAGAAAATAAAAACACCACCGCCCAGCACAACTTGCTCAATTTGTTACGACCTGTTGGGTGCCGATAAATGGTCCATTATTCAGAGTCCTTGTTGCCGTACTGGCTGGTTCCATAAACTATGCATGCAGAAGTTTGCCAAAACAGCGGGATATTTCTTCAAATGTCCACTCTGTAATGATGTGAAGACATTTAGGCAAAAATTACCTGCGCTTGGCATATTTATTCCAAATCAGTAAGTACATTATCTGTGTCGACATAAACTGCATTAGTGTTGGCCCAAGCTATAACCGTATATAGCTTTGCATTGACTTTCCGAAAAATTGAACTAACCTGTTTAACTTTTTAGGGACGCAGCGTGGGAATTGGAACCAAATGCATTTGCAGAACTTTTGGAACGTCCCAATGAATGCTCGGCTATCAATTGTGCAAACAATGAAGGACGGAGTCATTCCGACTCAACAAATCCCCTCTTGTTGTGTAGGACTTGTGGTTCTACTGCAATTCATAAGAAATGTTTGCCACAATCGGATAACAACCGATTTCATTGTAATGATTGTACGATTGCCATGGAAGAAGACAGTGGACGGGAGAGTCTAAATTCAGAACTAAACGATAAAGGAGATGTTCTACATGGCAATAAATTATGTGATGTCAGTCATCACGAAAATATGGCAATTATAAACGGATTAATTTGCGATAATGCTGTCTCTTCCGATGAGGAAATAAAGACAAAACGTCGTTATAAAAACAGGTTGTCCAGTGTGGACTCTTCTGTTCAGCCCAATATTTATAGCAGTATGCGACGGAATAAGAAGGCAAGTAAAAGCTATAAACATGGGAAGAGCATCATAGATTCAACAGATGACGAAGATAGCGAAGAAGTAGAAACAATCTGTGGCACAAATAAAGGCCTAGGACAGCAAGAAGAGTTGAAAAGCAATACAAATTTGAGGAATGAAGAGGGTCCAAAATGCTGCAATAGGGATGAAATTAACGATGGTAGCGATAAACGGAACCTGGTAAAGTCATTACGATGGGGTCGCAACACAGACATCAGCGACGACGAAGTGATTATAGAAGTTTTTTCTGGACAACAAAACGCTAATATTCATAAAAATGGAGATAGAACGTGTAACTTGAAGAGACAACAGCTCAAGTCGATAATTGAAAGTGACGAAGACGACGATGACTTCAAGTATAACGTTCCTAAAAAACAACTTAAAATACATAATGACAACACAGAAGATGATGATCAAAAAGACGACAGCCGGAGAAGACAGACTACCGTGGAGTCTGGTAGCGATGACGAGGGCGGAAATTTTGGAGATCTGGAAGCACACAAAGTAACTTCTGACGAAGAAGAAGAATCGGACGAAGATGATGACCCTTTGGAGAATTTTACAAAACTTGTCGATAGGCAAAAGGAAATAAGTTGTATAGCCCAAAGAACAAGAAACAAAGAAACCCAATCCAGTCACCAGAACAAAAACTCGCAAATCGAAGTGAAGATTACGAAGACGATTACATTCCAACATGAAGAGCCTAAAACCTTGACGAAAAGTGATAATTTGGACATTTCTTGTATCGCAAGAAGAACTCGCCGAAAAAGCACAGCTACAGATCGTATGGATTTCGATGATTATGGCTCAAATTCAATAGAAAACAAAGTGTTGAATACATCATGTGTTGCAATTAGAACGCGCGGAAGGCGCAAGACGGTATGTTCTGAGACTGCAGCCGAAAAGAAAAAGCGAGAAACCAACGAAAATTGTGTTATGGCAACGACCAATTGTCAATCAATTAGAACACCCCGCTCTTACGATATGTCGAAAGATTCTGATTCAGATGAAGAATATGACAATATTTCTGAAAATAGCGAATCTACAAGAAACTCACAAAACGATGGTAAATTAAGTCCTTTTGAGCTGTCATGTGTTGCAAGGAGAACAAGAAGGCGCAAATCTCTTTGCATCGATTCCGAGAACAGCACTTCATCTTCTTCCCGTTCCATAATATTATCGACAATACAAATTTCATCGAATCGCTTCAATCATGCTTGGCCAAAACAAAATTATGTGCTGGCATTTTGTAAAACAAGAAGTTCTCAAAATTATTATCCTAATAACAATGATCATCCTCATATCAGTAATCGGAGAAGAAACTAGTTTTTGTTGGTTTCAAATTATGTTTTTTTTTAATGAAGCAACGGTATATTTAATATGTTATATAGATGTTTGAAAAGATAGTGGGTTGCCGAATTCATATTCTGAATTCCTTGATTAAAATCAATCTATACATGTGAAGAGAATTTTCGATTGTCTATTTGGGACCTTATATTTAAATATTGTAATTTTCAATAACAAAATATCAATTTTGTTTGTAAATTTTTTTAATTAAGATCCATGATTGCTGTATACCATATTATTTAACTTGAGATGGAGGAAGTATTAAAGGCAACAATAACATATTATATATACAAATTAGAATTGTGTTTATTACATTTAACGTTGAGCGTTCCCAAACATATTATTCCATTACATATTAAAGTATTTTGTTTTATATTTTTATTATTATTTAAGTAAAATATGTGCATTTACTAGTATTTAGATAAA